ACTACAATTCCAAAGAATCCCTGTGACTACAAGGGGCACACACACACGCCTCCCCGCAAGTTTTCCAAGCGCCAGGGGGACGCCGGGGATTTCCATGGTCGGCATCCAACGAAGACACCATGGACTTCCTGTGATATGAGTCAGGGACGCCTGACTCACGTACCTGCATTTTCAAACGGAATGGCGCGAGGCTATGCCCATCGTCGATTTGAGACTTTGGCCTCATCTCCTTTTGAAGACCCCAGGCCCCCCAGGTTTCTCTTGGACCTTTCAGGATTTGGGTCTCTTAGGCTGGCGTGTGGCGCCGCTATCAGTTCCGTATGCATATCCATAAGTGTGTCTGACTACCTAGCACTCTAGAATTACTGACTACTTAGCAGAAATGAATTAGATGCAATAGTTAGGGAGCGGGACTTTAGTCTTATACCGCCGGGTAGAGTAGACTAGAAAAGGGACAACAGAGGGAAAGGCACCGACACACACAAGTGTGTCGAGTACCATTTCCCTCTGTTACCCTAATTAGCGGGGGGGAGGGGTTGGGGTGTTTGGGGGTAACGAACACGTCGGGGTTCATTCTCCGTTAACCCGGCGGTTTGGATATCCGTGAAGCCCGGCGGCTTAGGTTTTTGGGAACACAGTGGTGAAACGAAAGTCCGTTAAGATAATCCAACGAGTGCAGAAAGCGGCAAAATCCATTAGTGGTACTCCAGTATGAGACGGCGCCCCAGTGACGGGGATCACACTGTGCACCCACGTGGGACGGCACAGCGGCACACACTTAAACATTGGGTTTTCAGTTAACTCAGTTCCCAGGTCGAAGAAAGGTGATGGAACAGTCCAGGCGCATGAAGGTGTTTGAACAAAATGGTTTCTTCGTGACTGCAGAATTCAGCGGTGGCGAAAAGAGCGGCGCGGCGCAGCTGCGGAAACCAAGGTTTTGGGGTTGGTCCCATGAAGAACCATGGAATCAAACAGAGCAAATTAGACAGCGTGGTCAAAATTTCGAAAACTGTCGCAGGTACGTGAGTCGAGCGTCCTCGACTCATATCACAGGAAACGTGCAGCGTCTTCGTTGGTCGCTGACTGCGCGAATCCCCAGCGACCCCCTGTGATATGGATCGGACAGAAACTCTTTGGAACAGAGTGTGACACACACACACACACACATCCTGGGCCTGCCTTAATGGGGCGAGAATGTTGGCTTGCGTCAGCAGGATGTGATAGACCCCGTAATGAACTCAAGGGCCCACCGGTCTGTTGCATGCTGTTGGGTCGCGTGGCAGATGCCTCTGATGCCGAGGAAGGCGTTGGTAGCCAAGATGAACGCTCAAGGAAGAACAAGCTCTCCCGAAAGACTCAGAGAGTCCGACAGCCTGGGGAGCTTGAGTCGTTTCGCTCTTTGCACATGTCCGATGCCACATTTCAACAGTCTTAGTAGTCTTGGAGAGGCGGTCCGCTTGTGTGAAATCAGTCTTGGAGTTTCGAGCTATGTTGGATCAATGTTGGATCATCCGCTGTTTGGAGAGGCGATCCGCTTCGAGTTCCAAGACTTCTTCAAGGAGCATCGGAGCTTGGCCCAGCTCTTTGAGAACCTCGGCTTTGCACTTGAGCTTGGCTGACCTGGAGAAAAAACATTGAATCTTGAAGAACTGCTGTTTGCAATAACCGAACCAATCTAAATCTGGTTGAAGCTGCGTGCCAAACGTGCCCAAACGCCGCTTTCGGATTGCCACTTCAAGCGAAGCTCTATGGCCCTCAGTGCGAACGTCTCGTGCCACTAGAACGGCCCAACCATCTTAGCCAACCCAAAACGCCGCGCCAAAACAACCCATCCAAAACGACGCGAAAAACAGCAAATTCCAATGAAAGCGACGCTGGAAAACACCAAGAAACAACATGAACCAACCTCACCACTACAACAGTCCTCTGAACCCGCCCATATTACACTATTTCTGCACAACTGGTCCCTGAAGTGTTCGGCTCACTGCCAAACGTCTCCGGTGTCGCCACAGTATTGACCAATCTACTTTCAGCGAGAAAATGGTCCCCAGGAGACACGCTCAGTGCAAAACATCGCTGTCTGACGCCAGTAAACAGTCTATGTCCAAGCCCCTCTCCCGAGCTTGTCAGTCAGCCTGAAACCAGTCTCAAGGCCACTGCCACAAGTGCCAAACATGGCTTTCTGTCGCTGATTGAAGTCTCTCTGACCCCACCATTGAGCCTGCGGACTCCCGAAAAGAGCAAGCTGATGGTTCACTGAGGAAGATCATTTCATGTTCGTTGGCTGTTCTCTTGCTGTTCTTGTTTCTTTGGCCTGAGGAGTGAGTCGGAAGATGAGATCCCCTGGTACCGAAGTCTGGGGCAAGCAGTGGTGGAAAATTACTTCTTTGAGCGGCTTGGCAGTCCTTTGAGCGCACTCGGTGCAAAAAACACGTTGGACAGTTGGGCAACTGACATCATTGATGAAGCCTCTTTCAACACGAATTATCAAGCCTGGGAAGATTGGAAGATTGATAAATTCGACCAAACTTAGAGAACAGCAGCAAGAGCTCCTCCAGACCCAGCTCGTTCCCGCACTCGTTAGGAAGGGCATCGGGATCATCATTGTCATCAACTCCATTATGCTTGGGATTGAAACGGAGCTCGCGATACAGAGTCTTGGGTGAAAGATGAGTTCTTTCAAGTTTCCGAGAATATGTTTTTTCGGCGAATGTGTTGGAGGAGTTGGACGGTTCTTTTCACAGATGCACTGCAACTCTATATGTACTGCAACTCCAGACGGACTACAATTGACATCAAGTAGATCCATACAGCTCAACGAACTCGTTCAGCAGTTAGTGCAAAAATCTTTGAACATAGTCAAGAAAGTTGTCCACACCTTGCTGCGCTCCTGCGCATCAACACCTCTGGTGAGCTACTCTTCACAAGTTGGTGGTTCTCAGTCCATTCTTCGTTGATGAAGCGTGTAAGGAACAAACCCACTGCATGGTGCCGGGCTCAGACCTTCAGGCTGCAGATCAAGTAGACTCAATCGTGGACTTGAGTAGCTCAGGGTCTGACCTTGTAGTGCTAAAGTGCTCGAGCTCTCCATGCGCGTCCTGGGCACTCTTACTTTACCATTGAATACCTTTGGCTTTTTACTAATTTCTTCTCATTTCTCTTTTTGCCAGTCTGAGTCTTTCTGCTTCCAGGGTGTCTTTTAAAGGCTGTGTGCGGGTCCCTACACGCTTGGCCACGCTTGCTGAGGCCAGCAGACCTGGAGACTTGGAGCAAGAGGGGACCAAATGAAGACTTTACCAAAGGGCCTTGGGCTGTTTGATGGGTGAGTGATCAAAGGATGGATGGGGATGATGATAAGATAAGTATATATAGGTCTATTTAATTAGTTTGGAATCTTTGATGTTTTCCAGCTTGAATCGCCCTAACGGTTCTGCTGCTCACAGCTTTTGCATGAACACTTGCTAAGATTCTACACGTAGTGGTTGATTCCGACTTTCACTCCATCTTGTGAGCGCATTGCTAGTGCTCAACTGAAACATCCTTGCTTTTAGGGTCTTACCGTTTTCCCTTGAACTATGCATCCAAAAGGATTCCAGTGGAAGAGCCAGAAAAAAATCTCTTGCAAGTGGGGTCTACATTCTGCAAGTGCCTCCTGCACAGGGTGTTTAGTTGGCCGCTACTTACTTGCAAGTCCATGTCAGCAGAGTGTCAAAGACATGCACTCCATTTCTCCTTGATCGCACGGATCGATGCGGTGCGCGAAATCCCTTGTGCTGAAGGAATACATGTTCATGGCGATCTACACGGTTGAGCTCATTCTTCATCTCATGGCCTATGGCTTCCGAAAATGCTTCACCGATGGGTGGTTCGTCTTTGATGCGATTCTAGCCCCTTGGGCAGCAGACTCTGGTCAGCTCAAGCTTGGTCGGTGCATCGGAAGCAAGCTCAATCACTCATACTTCAAGAACCCTAAAGTTTACGCTTCTTACTCTGTTCGAACATGACACTTGCGGTCTACAGCGGATCGGATTGACACGTCCATTTTGCCTGGCAGGTACAGCACGGTCAGATTTCCACACCCGTTTAAAATTAAAGTGCTTATAAGGCTTTCAGGTGTGGAAATCTGACCGCAACTTAGGCGTCGACATGTTGCACGTAGGATTCTACGGGGAAAGGGTTTGTCCCGTTTTAGAAGTCAAGAAGCGCAACTTTCGGCACCCCAGTGTACATGACACTTCTAAAGATGTTCTAGTGTGTGATGTGTGTGGCCCAGGTGTGACGGGCCGCTTCCTTTCACATTGAGACGTCTCACCAAAAGTCGAACCCCAAAGCCATGCTGTATGGTAAAAGCAAGGTGGTGTGCTGTAGCCAGGTCTTTGTGGCCTATGCTGGAAAGCTGATGCCTTTGATTTTGGGTGCAACAGCAGGAGCAGCAAATGCACATGTGACACGGCCCAAGTTCAAAACGATCAGGGATGGACATAGGTGGAAAAGTATTCGGGTTTATAGAGGAACATTCAGATATTATCAGATATTTACCAGACATTGCTTTCCTCTTCACACAAGCTGATGTCAAGCGTCATCATGTATGATCCTAATGAACCAACAACCTCTCGAGGCCTGGAAAAGCTAGCTTCCCACGCCTTTGCACTGAGTGGAGCCTCAATTCTGTCTCCAGGAGGTGTCGTAGACCAGATCATGGTGGTGCGAATGCTGCGCATCCTGCGACTCGCACGAGCCTTGCGCGTGGTGAAGCAGCTCCCTGGCCGCGTTCGTCGCCGCCATCCGCGGACGTGTTTGGGACTTATTTTCTTTACCGAAGTTCTGTGAGGATCAGATGATACAATGCAGTATGTAATAATATAGTTGAAACAGAGACGCAACAGTTCGCCAGGAATGCGAAAAGCAGGTGTTCCCAGGTTGTGAGACAATCTCACCATCAAATCGGCCAAATGTAAAGGGTCCATGCCTCGCAGGTCCAAGCCTCTGAATCGCCTGCCTCTGAGGTTTGGCACGGTTTGGAAGTTGGTCCGTGGACTGCTCACCTCCTTCGATGCAGCTGGCCTATTCAAATAGGGCAGGTTAGAGCTGAGAGCTGAAATGTCTATTGCTGATATTTCATTAAGTTCACTGCCAGTCTCCAAGTTCTTTTTGTTTGTGTTGCTGGTTTTACGCCTGATAGATCCTGATAGGGGATCCACCTAGACAGACTGACGAACTTCATTGGGAGAAGTCTACTGTATGATGCCGTCTCCACTGTTCTTTTGCATTGCAACTGTTGGCTTTGCTTCGAGTCTTCGGGACCTGGCCAAGGTCATGGCCTCATCCTTTGTCCTGGTTGCTCACCCAGCTTCCGGGTTCGTTGCTTCAGAGTTCAAGTTGTCAAGGGACAGCTCCAAAACGAACTGGTGCTCAGGTCATTTTGATGCTCTACATCTTTGCTTGTCTGGGGCATCTTGGCAGAAAAGAACTGGACCATTGAGGCATGTTCATGCCGCACTGAAGAACTTGTCGCTAGCACGCCACAGCTCCAGCACATGCAGCACATGTTGGATCCTATTGACATGGGTGCAAGGGCATTTGACTGCCCTCTTTTCCGAGGATGGAGCTCATCGGTGGAGATGAAGAGCTTAAGCTGAATCCAGTCGCTCAGCAACAGGGATGGGGCACTGGGTGTAGTTGCCATGAACGTCGCACCCCCATGTCCGTAGCTGACATCGCACTTTAAGGTCGAACAGAGTGATGCCATGGGTTTTGTTCTGCCTCTAATGTGGTCTGAGTTTGCAGAACGATGTTACTTCACCTCCTCAGTTCCTTGCATCGGAGCATCGGAGCATCAGAGCCTGAGAATGTTGGATTTCATGATCCGTCCCCATTGACTTGAGTGCATCAAACATAAAGCCTACTCAAGCTATCTAGTTATGGTCTGACTCCTCATAGATTCTTCTGTTCTGAGCTTCAGTGTGTCAAGCAAAGAAGTTTAGAGGCTTAGAGGGTCCGTCCGCCACATATCTGCGTTTCCAGGCTACCATGAAGCAAGCTGAAGATTTTGAGGAAGCTTGGAAAGCCCTATTGCAACTCAGCCTAAAAAGCTGTTAAGCAGGCACAAGGCTGAGAAACTGATGCTGATCACTGAGGTGGAGTAGTAGTAGTAGATACATGCAGCAACCAGACAAGGGTTCATTGAGAGCTCTTCAAAATCAAAGACACAGTTCCGCTATGGCCACTATGGAAAGAATAGTTCGTTTTGAGCATTGTTTGGCATGGCCAAGAAGGATACTGTACACAGACAAATGATGCAAGCGTTTGTTGGGGGCAGCGAACAAGTGTTTGAAATTGATACTGATTTGATATGATTTATGTAATACTATTTGAATGATTTGCCGAGGACGCTTTTCCAGTAGCTTGGTCGCGCTTGAGGATACTTGAGGCAGCCCGGACCACACATATCAGCACTTAGTCACACTCACTTTAAGTCCCCGCGTACTTGGCATGGCATTGTCCTACAATCAAACTAGTAGACTCGTTTTTGCATTGCTGGAAGTTCCCAGGTTTGTGACTTTGGACTCCACCCCTGCTGTCTATGCAACTCGGAGCTGAACATGGGTGATTTCTGGAGCAGTCGATCTAGTCTTGGCGAGGCCCACGTCCAAACCCTGAACCGATTTCCATGGCATTGAAAGAACAACAGGATCAAGAACTCATTTGATCATACAAGTCATGTGATCATACATGATAAAATTATATCATGTGATATTTGACCCTTTTGATCCTTTTGATTTGTCCACTGCGGCACGGTACTCAAACCCAGGGATGGGCCCGCTAGGCCTTGGTCGATGGGTGAAACCCCGCGCTGGGGGGGGCCTCAGGTGCCATTGATCAATGCCAAGCCCGTGCTGGCACCCTACTTCCTCACCTTATTGCTGTCTGTAGGCCACGGGGCCGTGCCAGCAGAGTGTGAAGTTCCATGAGATGCCGCCACGAGGTTTTTTTGAGATCTTTGGATCAATGATGATGGAGCAAAGCTCAATCGATCCCAAATTAGTTCTCTCATTCTCTCGAGATGCGTTGATCCCCTTGCATTGCTTTTCAAACAGGACCTGCAAAACTTTCGGAAGCCGCCTCTGGGTGGGACAGGAAGACAAACCATCGGATTTTCTCAGCTTGAACGATCAGACAGGTATAGCGCTGATGAACTTGGTCACAGCGTCGATTGTTGAAGCATCACTGCAAAGTTCAGAGATGGACAGACAGGAAAAGAAGGCAGGGATTTCGTTGTTTTGCTTTATTGATTCAGACCGTTCCCAACATTGGTTGGACCATCCTTGAAGTGTTTCCCGCCAGCCTGTTGCAGTTCATATTGGAGCACAGGTAGTTCATGCTTCAAAGGCGGATCACCGAGCCAACTGAGCAAGCATGTGAGTGGAACCCTTGCCAGTGAACAATGGACCTTTCCATTTTGAACTAGAATCTTGAATGTATGTAATGCAATGCCATGGAATGTGATGTGATGTGATGTAATGTATATAATGTGTTGGGTATGTAATGTAGTGGTATGTTATGTGCGTCATGTAATGTAGGGTAACATAATGTAATGGTGTGTAAAGGTATGCATTGGTAGGTATTGGTATATATTGGTACATATTGGTATGTATTGGTATGGATGGATGGATGGGTGGGTGGGTGGGTGGGTGGATGGACGGACGGACGGACGGACGGACGGATGGATGGGTTGGATGTTGGTGTGTTGGTATGTTGGTATGTATGTATGTTCTGTTCTGTTATGTTATGTAAGGTTTTGTTATATTATGGTATGTTGAAAGTTGCGCATGTTATGTATGCTATGCATGCTATATATATATATGTTATGTAGGTTATGTCAAGTTATGTTATGGTATGTAATGCATGTTATTTGTGTAATGTTCTGTGATGTAATGCACTATCATGATTACTGTATATTGTATTGTTTTTAACACTATATATAGTAGTATAATGTGAATGATATAATCAAATATATATATATATAATGTATGGATGTAAAACCACACATTGTTTTGCTTTGTGTCCATGACGAAGCACTGGTGGGTTTGGGCACAGCTCCAAAGATTTGGTTGAATTGACAGGAGCGGTTGAGACAAGATATGGTGAGATCTATACCGGTCCCATGGCAGCAAGTTGTCGGTAACTGTTCAGACTGTTGAGAGCCTCAAGAATGGTTAGTTGGGCCAAGTCCTCCTTTTCTCATTGTCTATCCTGAATGTAATCACAGCAGATCAGATGAACAATCCTTCGTCAGCACAATGCATTGGGGTTCAAGTGTTGTGGATACAGACTTGCAGGACATATTATGAGGAAATGCAACATGGGAATTGGCAAAAGATACCTGTGAGCCAAGGTTCTCATGCAGCTCTTCCGTGAGCTGGATGTGGACCAGAATGGCAAGGCAGCCACAGCTGTGCAATGTCTTATAGGAAGCAAATCAATGGAATGAACATGTCCATGCTATCATGTTTGCTAAATTCAAACCAAATCTGTACTAGGGATGGTCGCTCGTGGCTCACCTTTTGCAACTTCTGTCAGATTTCCTTGGATGAAGTGGAGCAATTCGACATCACAATACTTCCTCCGCCCTTGGGCAGCAGATTAGTTGTGCTCCAGCCATTTGACCAAAAAGCCGGAGTAGCCGATTGAACGACTCAAAGGGACGGAGTCGATGGAGACAAAGTTTGCGTTTGGCTCATCGAACGACACATCGAAGTCTTCTGCACTGAGAGGATAGCTTCATATAGCTTCGGTACTTTGGAACGATGCCAGCAGGTGTCAATGCACTTTCTCAATCTTTCTTATGGGTGTTTGCAGTTTCAGAAAGACACTAAAGCTAAGAAGCAACTGTTGGCTTCAGGGTCTTGCGAGATAACATCAGCGCGGACAACATGGCCGACCTCTTTGGAGTGCTCGACGTTGATGGAGGTGACTGCTAAGTGGTGGAGGAATACGCCAAAGACACGTAGTGTGACGCTAACAAGAGGCATGCCGGATTTATAGACAGTTTGTGTCGCAAGGCAACTCCGTAGGAATGTCAAGATGGCCATTATGTGCTTGGCACCTTCCTTTTCTGCTTTTGCCCCTGTGAAACATAAGAGTTCGGATGTTTGATTGCTGCTGCTTGTCACTCCGGGTGGGCTCGCATCAGCTGGCGAATTGGACATGAAAGAGTTTGTTGGCGGTCTTCTACAACTTTGGCTGATGGATGTGACTTGGACTGAGCCATGGAAGAATGAAGCTAAAAGCTACTCGTCCACGTGCACTACATACCATCTCTGAATTAGTTTAGGACCGTACTGCTGAAACTGGGGTACTAAGGGACATCAGCAAGTGAGCCACATGGGTTTGAACACAAAAGCCTTTTGACGCCCTCCAGATTGCGTTCACTGTTGTCCAAGTGGCTCGATTCAAACATTACACCTTTGTTTTACCATGGGCAATTCCGGACTGTTTGCGACACTCCCAGGTGCCCATCACCACGCTCCAGATCCTGTTGCTTGGTATTCATAGTGGGGAACTCACCAAAGTTAACCAGAGCTATACATGCAGACTTTCTTTCAGGTTCCCAAAGACATGGAACTTCGTTCTGACAGTATAGGACAAGTCGGAGAAAAGAGATAGCATGAAAGAGATCAGATACAGTAGCTAATTTGTGCCAGTGTTTCACGCAGCAAGAGTATAGAGGTGAGGTTGGTGAGGCGCCCATTTTTGCGATCGCACTTTTTGCTGACTTCTCGTGAGGAAGTTCAGCCGGATGAACCGACAGTGCCTTGGCGGAAGTGGCATGCGCACGCAAGATATCTTCCCATGGTTGATTGGACATACCTGGTGTCGTGTCACAACTACGAGCAGAAGCAACAAGCGACAGTCCTAACCACATTTTTTTTTAAATCATGGCACAGATCAGACGATCAGCCTAGGATTATAGATTCAGCTTCTAGATCTTCTAGAAAGTTTTTGTCGCAGCTTTGAGATACCATCAACTGTAAATAGCAAGATAGTTTTCCACCCTGGGTAGTGTAGGACTTCTTCCAGAAACCTGCCTGCAGGAAGACCGTCGAATTCTTCACTAGCACCATGCAGAGGAGATCTGTGTCTTCCTTATCTCAAGAATCCTTGGATCTTTTCTTGAGTAGCAGCTCAGATTAGCCAAACCCCTCACCCGAGTCTTTTAGCTGCGAGATGAGTGGCAGGATAGGCGAGATGAGCGGCGTGCTCCATGAGCTGCAAGGGGACGTGGCGAAGAGTCACGTCCAAGACACGAGGCGATGGGCGAGATGAGAGTCCCAGGATGGGTCCTACAGCCTGGAATGAACGAATCTGCTCTTTTCACGATCCAGGCATCGGTCTCAAGTGTCTCTGTTGAACCATTCGATTCTTTGTTCAAATGCTTCGATTGGGAGATATTGGGAGATATTTTGGAGGTTTCTGCTTAGTTCGCTGCGGTTCCCAAGTTCAGGTCGTCTTCCGTTGTTCGGCCAAAGGTACTACTGTATATGACAGTCAGGAAAAGGAAAGCTACGCGGAAAGGAAAGGGAACGAAAGCAGTGCTGCAGTCATGATCGCCAAGACCCATATTTCAATCCCGTAAAGCTGAATATTTCACCACAAGATCCGAAGAAGAGGCGACCAGTTTCGTGTGACCGGTCACTTCCCAATCGATGTTGTTTCCGGTTTGTTTTGGGGGTTTGTCTCAAGGATCCGGTCTGTTCGGAGAAAGACTCCAAGCCTATGGGGCTCAAACATACTCAAAGAACATCACAGCTCACTCCAAATTTCAGTTCCGTTCTGCAGGTTTTAGGGCCCATCGTCGCATGAGAGGCGGGGCTGGCATGGATTGCATGGGCATGGGTAAGCGTCCATTTTTAAGATACCAGTGGATGACAATAGTTGGCTCTGGGGGCAGCATCCCATCATTATTTTTCCCCAGATAGCGACAGCTATGGGGTTCTTACTTCAAATTACAATGAGCTGGCTGTGCGCGTAGTGGAGACAGGGTGCCGGTGCTGGGTGCCAGTGCTGGCAGTGAGCTGGCTGTGCGCGTGGTGGCAACAGGGTGCCGGTGCTGCATACCCGTGCTGGCTGTGCGCGTGGTGGAAAGAGGGTGCCGGGTGCTGGGTGCTGGTGCTGGGTGCTGTGAGCTGGCTGTGCGCGTGGTGGAAACAGGGTGCCGGTGCTGGGTGCCCGTGCTGGCTGTGCGTGTGGTGGAAAGAGGGTGCTGGTGCTGGGTGCTGGTGCTGGATGTGCGCGTGGCGGAGACAGGGTGCCGGTGCTGGGGTGCTGATGCTGGCTGTGCGCCTGGTGGGACAGGCTTCTTGGAAAGCTGGCGAACTGCGGGGCAGTTGACTTTTGGAGCCAGCATGGTTGCGCACGCTTTCATTCTAAAGCTGTGGATGTGGTTGTTCATGGAGCTTTGCGTGAACATCTGTATGCCTTAGGCCGGGGTAGTGCCTGAAGATGATGTAATTTTAGAGGTTGACAGAGTGTTGTTTTGGAAACGGATGTCGAAGGTATGCCACTACCATTTGAAAGTGTGTCATGCTTGCCAGTGCTGTTGGTGCTGGGTAGGCTTTTGGCATTTTGGGTTAGCAGGCTTTTGGTAGCGAAGCATTCTAAGTGAAATTGCTTTTACTGTAGACGTTCTCCCCACATGATTGAGACCTGACTCACAAACCCTGTTATGAGTCGAAATACGGCATCCCATAGATGGCGCGTGCTTTTTGCACATGTTTTCCTCCAAGCAGCCAGATTGGCGCTTTTTCCCAATGTAAAAAAGGTTCCTGTGTGTGCTTTGGAGCTGCTGCCAATGCAGGGCGCAGTCCGGAAAAATATGTTGCGTGTTTTTGCCTCCAGGTCGGAAACCGAACCTGTAGTTGTGCTTATTTTTACAATCCACACTCTTGGCATCTATTCACATTTTTTTCGACCCGGTGCCTAAGTCAGTCAACGTTATGTATATGATGATGTTTTTGCTATGTGGGGCCTGCGCTGGTGTAATTATTCAGTTTTGATGCTAGCCATTGCTAGCCTCTGCCACTTCTTTTTCCATTTCGGGAGAGCATTTGTACAAACCAAAGCCTTCTGGGTCACTTCTACCGGTTTGTTTGCAGGCCACTAATCGCCATGCCAGTGCTGTGAGATCGTGCTCCGGCGATCCTTTGGGGCCCTGTACAGCACAATGGATCCTACCAGAAATGGAGGTCACGCAAGGAATACCTGGGAGAGAGGTTTTCGCACGTAGAAACGCGAGAAAATATCCTTTGCAGAGGAAGAATTGTAAAAATGCTTACAATTATACACAATGTGAGACACATTGAGACACAGAAGTGGATGTGGTACACTTCAAGAAACGTAAGCATCGATGAAGGAGTGGAACATTGGCCTTTATCTCGGGCAGGATCTTACCCGAACGCCGAAGGCGTCAAGTCAGGTGTTGCCAATCCGGCGCCCACGAAAATGATCTCATCCATTCGGATGCTGAGTCCAACTTCCGAAGAGGTAGATCAAGCCAGCCCACGCACTCATGTCCCTTGGCCATTTATTTTTTCAAACGAACATAGCTGAGCACTATTTAACGCATTGTTGGTTTTGGAAGCATCTACCCTTGAGGAGCCTGGGCTCTGAACTTTAGTGCAGGACACAGCTTGGAGTGAAAAGGGCCAGCAAGCAGGTTCAAGCGGCTTTGATCTTGTGACGGTAGACTTCATACAGACCAGAATGGACAATATCCAAGGTAAACGAACCGTTCTTGAAGGATTGGCCGTTCTCGAAGATGTGAACTTGTGAACAAAAACACCAATCACCACACCACGTGGGCTCCACGTCAACCACTTCTTGTTCGCAGAATCAAGAATGGCCAGTGGACACAACACACCCTTGGTTTTGGCGATCCAATTCCCATGGGTTGCTCTTGTTCGGCTCAGCTTGCCCGTTTTGCCCCGACCGGGCCTGCTCGGTCAGCATTTGTTCCCAGAGGAGCCTGGTGGGAGTCTTCGCAGCTTTTGAGCGGGGATTTCCGGATATTTTGGAAGAATCGAAGCAACGTTGAAAGATCTTGTTGGACAATTTCTCAATAAATTTTCGAGGGGACAAGGTGAGGGGACTTCGACACTATCGAGATCTATTGAGAACCTCCTTTGCTGCTCGTGGTCTTGGCGTGAGTAACCATCTCATTTGGAGTCAACCAAGGGTATCGCTACTAGGAGCAAGGACACTACTAGTAGCCCCTGGCCAAACTACTAGTAAAAAGAAGCTACTAGGGGCTCCTGGCCTTACTACTAGGAGCAAGGACGCTACCAGGGGCTCCTGGGCATCGCTACCAGGAGCATTCTTGCTTCTAGTAACAAGAAGCTATCAAGTCCTTCGCCTTCGCCGCTTGACACGAAGGACTGCGTTTGAGCATCGCACGGACCCGGTCCATGAGGCTCCTCCGGTAGATTGAACACCGCGAAAAGACAATGACGCTTTGGGTTGATTGAGGTTGTATTCTTGTTTCAGTTTCTTCATCTATGTACAAGTTACTGTATCAAGAAGTGTGTATGTATGTATATATATACAATATTATACTATTGTGTATTGTGTGATCCTATGTGATTTTCCCCACCTGTCAGGTGGGGGTTGTTAGCTTTTAATGTCAGCTACTTTTCGTCGCCCGCCTCCGTCTCCGTCTCCTCCGCCTCCTCAACCGCCAGTCTCTGACGGCAGTGTTGCCCGCCGGACCTCAATCGGCAGCCCCCGATGGCAGTGTTACCCGCCGGATCCCAACCACAGCTCACAAACGCAGCGCACAACTACAGCAGACAAGGACAATCACATAGCCACAAACACCACTACAAAGACACAATCACAAGCACACAACCACAAAGACACATCCACGGGACACAGCCACAACACACAACCATAGCACACAACCACAGCACACAACCACAAACACAACTACAAACACACAACCACAAACACAACTACAAACACACAATCTCAAGCACACAACGACAAACACAACTACAACGCAATCACAAACACGCAGGCAGAAGCAGGACGGCAAACACAACAACTGTACAAAGACAGAAAAGGACATGGAACATATGGCTGCCTTACACAGACGCTTGGAACATGTGGATGCGTTGCTTTTGCTGTGGGGTCGTTTTGGTCAGCTCGCTTCTGTCAGCAATTGAGGGGATAGAGCCGCAAAGGTAAAGGTAGTAAAGGTCATGGGTCATGAGGCCCGTCAGAGAAGTTAAATACAGACATGTTTCCAAGCGCGCGCCAGCGGAGCGCGCTCTTGTGTGCAATGGTTTTCTATGAGATTGTTGACCGGGGCGTGCGTGTTTGCTTGATCCACAACGACACATCCACAACACGCAACCACGACGCACAACCACAGCACACAACCCCCCCACACAGCCGCAAACACAAGCACACAACCACTAACACACGCACACACAACCACAAACACAACTACGAAGACACAGTCACAAACACTACTACAAAGACACAATCACAAACGCGCGGCCACAAAGACACATCCACAGCACACAACCACAACACGCAACCACAAAGACACATCCACAGCACACAACCACAACGCATAATCACAGCACACAACGACAAACACATAACTACAAGCACAAACGCACAACCACCAACACACACACAGACAACCACCAACATGTCAGACAATATGGCAAGTAGAAGTTTAGAATATATACCGTATATACCAGATAGAATCTCACAATATATAATATGTCAAAGATAATGTTTCTGTTGTGTGTCCTGCACACCCCTTCTTCCTTTGCCTTTACCGGACCAGACACCTGACAGGCGCGCCCCTGTCTTGCAAGAATGTCAGTCACATCTGACAAGCAGCAGAATGCGCCAGAAAGAATGCCAAAATAATGTTGCAATACATGCCAGAAAACTTGTCTGATTGGAATGTCATGGTGGGGGTCACTCGAAGTGAAGTAATCATATTTATTTTTTTTTTGCAGGGTACGTGGGTGTTGGCTGACAACAAGGTAATGGAAAAAACTAAGCTTCGCTGTAAGAAACTGTAGTTGTGACCGGCACCAATAGTTGGAGTTGAGCCAGCTACCAAGCAGGTCTTGCAAAGAGACTCTGACAAGAGATGTTGTTCACTCAACTGGGCCGTTTCTGAAACAACATGGACTAGATTCGTTGGGTGACATTTGTACTTCTATTTCTCCCAGCCTGAAACCCTACAGCCCTACACCAGGTGACTGGCGAATGCGAGTTCACGTAGTCGAAAATGCCGAGGCGAGGTCTGTTTACAACTGAACAGCAACATGTGGTGGATCTACGTGGATCTGACATTTACATTTTGAGGCCGCAACTTATGCACGTTCTGTTGCAAATAAATATCTAGTCATCCAAAAGAATTGATTTTCATGGATCTTCCAAGTTCGTTTCAGCCCTTCATCCAGGAGGCCCAGGAGGAACCAAAGGCAGAGGCTGACGCGCCCAAGGCGAAAGAACGGCTGGGACCCTGGAAGGGCCATCGACTGGCGTTGAACCACTTCGACTGCTTGCAGCGGCTTGCCACGTGCGCCTAGGGTGCCTGTGCCAAGATTTCGATCCTCCTGGACTGGTGGAAGTGTCTGGCTCAGTGCTGAATTTCAGAATCGGCGAGATTTGTGGGTCATTGGCAGATAGCCCAAGTTGCTCATGCAGTTGAAGACCTGCTTTGAGAATGTGATTTCAGCTCAGATTAAAAGTAGACTGAGTCCCGCGGTGCCTTGTTTGTTTGAAGTTTTTGCGAAGGGCTGCTACATTGGATATCCCCAAATGCCCATCGTTTGGTTCATGTCAGGGACAAAGGACCTGGGACTGGCATTATTTGTTTTGATTTGACTTCCATAGTCCTCACTGACGGCTCTTTGGACCTTTCACCCCAACAATCTTCCACATCCGACTGCGCCCAGCTGTGCTCTGGAGCAGCGAGAAAACAGCGCCAACGGGGCAAGTGGCACCTCGGCTGGGTCAAACCGGACACGGCTGGGCGGCCGGGGGTTGTTGATGATCAATCCTTGCCCATATCTTGGTGATCTGCAGATTGCAAGCTAGCCTTTGACTGTACAAGGGTGTTTGAGGTTCGAGAATCGTAGGAATCATGGGACTGTGCCAGAGAAGGAATTCAGATCTCTGGCACGACTTGCCTATCTCAAAATGACAGAGGCCTTGACAAGGAAGGGTGACTCACTATTTCCTGTGCAAGGAGAGCAGTCAAGTATTTAAGTTGTAACAACAGCTCGGATGTGCATTCACTGGCAAACGAAAGTGTGCAGCACTTGGTAAGTTGAATACGTTGGTTTCATTTCTTTGTGGTTGGTTTGCGAGTTTCGATCAAAGGTGTGGCAATGGGAACATCGCACTGGGTTCAAAGCCTATGATGTGCGAGCGTGCGGTTGCCCAGTCTGGAGAATCCTGCTTTTCTCCGGAACCGGAAATACGTTGCACGCTACTGCAAACACAAAGTACGTACACGTGTGCATATCACGGCTCTTGGCAACGAGAGAGGGTCGATCTTACATTTGGATTTGGGGATGGGTCAAAACCTGGAGCCTCAACAATGTAGCTTGACCTGGGGAACTTAAAATTTGTTACTGTAGTTCTGGAAGATGTCTGGCTCGCAGAAAGTGATATATTTCGGTTCATGAACTGCCCTTCTCCCCCATGCCCCGATGGCTCCTTCGTCTCCTTTTCCAGGCATTGCTTGATATTGTTAACTATCATCAGTGTATCATCCATCTTCCATCACCCCTCACCACTCGTGATCGTGCAAGTAGTTTTTTGTCATCCTTCTGCGCCTTCCAATTTTGAATGCATCGAACTCAGGACAGCGCGAATCGAGGACGCATTCCAGCGGGGTCTCTCTCGTGTGCGGCTGAAGTTGGGGACCCAAATGTGCACAGCTATAAATAAATGACACCCACCCGAAGTTTGAGAACATGCATTTCTTTGAGGGGGTTGAACCCATCAACTGACGCCTTCAAACCCTTCGTCAAGCCACGGATGATGTCTCGTTTGAGTTATTCATTTTAGTTCGTCGGGATCCCATTGTATAGCCAGATGGTGCTGGGTCGTTACGCAAGAATGTTGAATCTAACTGTTTGAAAAGGTGAGACTATGAAACATCCAGACTAGCAGCACCTGCTAAGGGCTGGAAAGATGGATGACACGCCTATGGAGCTGCCAGCTCCTTAGAAACCAGACAGGGCACGATTGAGCTTGACACCCTTTTAATCCTCAAATGTGTTCAATTATCCAACGAGTCATTTCAGCTCGCTGTTGTGCACAATTCTGTGCACAATTCGGTTCGTCAGGGAGGTTCTGTCACTGATGCTGTATGAGTGTGTCCCGTCATCCGTCTTTGGGATGACTCCCACAGGTTTTTCCACGACATGATTCAGTTCGACCCCAAGACCGGCAACACCCGGAAGATCCGTCGAGTTGGCGGGGCTGCCCAGAGCAACGCGGGCGCGCGCAGCTCTGCGCGCCTGAGGATCGGACCATTGGGTCCGGGTGTGGTTCCAAAGGATTCCAAAGGCACATAACTTAGGTGAAGAGTCGCAGAGAGGTCAGCTGCCTACCACCTATCGGACCTATCTACCTTTTGGGGCTGTGCATGTTGGACCAAAATGTGTTGGCCTCATGCACTGGCCTTCGTGACGACAGGTCGTGATAGTTTGTGGAAGCGGTTCCGAAGAAAGGCTCCGTGGGACCTGTATGTTTGTGTTTGAGTATGAGACTTGGTTGAGATGAGAACCATGCAGCTGAATCAGAAAAATCACGTTGATCATGTAGAATCTCAAGAGGATTTTCTGAATGAAAATGGACAGCAGATCTCACAGCCATGGTTGGAGAGGTGTCCATGGTTGGAAGTGGCCTGACTCGGCACCGCAGGTGAACGAGTGGGCATGGTTGATCGAGACAGGTGCGTATATATCGCCTCACGCAAAGCTTCGAGAAAGCTAGACATGTGGAATATCAGTGACGCTCAGTGACTCGCTGGATGACGCTCAGTGACTCGCTGGACTCTTGTGATTCTGAATCCCTTTTCCCACGACTGGCAGAGTTTGGCCTCCTTGTTGCGCCTCCAAACTCTAGGCCGCACCACACGTGTGGTCTTCGCTCAGTATGAACAGAAGCGCAAGGAGTTGCACAGCAGCCGGAGCCCTGGCGGTGTAGGCGGAGTACCTAAGCCCTTGCTTTTCGGTGCATACATTGAGAAAGAAAGATGCAGGTTATGATCAACTTCACCTTTGAACATCTTGAAGTTTCAGGCTTTCATAAAGCCAACTCACAAGGTGTTGCCCATTCAAGCTTTGAATGGGCGTGGGTCAACACTAAACTATCAACATGTTTCAACCCTTGTAGTTCATGTTCTTCATTTGACGGGCCAACCAGGAAAGCCTTATGTCATGACCCAGTTAGCCATACTTTGTGCTGTCAGAGCTGACATTCAGCCTGTTCTCTTTCGCTCTCAAGCTGCGATCTGGACTTGCTGGTTTGCAGGAATGGATCGCCGGGACTACCACGTGACCGATTTGTACAAAGACAATGGCTTGGGGCTCACAGTGGTCGGAACTCTTCATCTTCGTCAGCATCAGAACCTTTTTGATTCGGGCCCAACATTCAATATAAACCGCACTGGATGCAGGTAGTAGGCCCTGACCATGAAGAGTTGCCCGCGAGTATCCTTGAAACGCAAGCGCCTTTCTAAAGCGAGATTAGTGTGTGTGTGTGTGTGACACTGTGACAAAAACACCGAGAAAGGAGCAGATTGGTTGACGCACAATTGTATTGATTGATTCAACTACTGTTGTTTGATTTCTTTGATATCATGGTCACTCTTCCCCGGTTCCTTTCCATGATATCTGATATCATGGTCACTCTTCCCCGGTTCCTTTCCAGCGCTAAAGCATTGATTGTCGTTTTCTTTTATATAAATGTGGGTGACCTGTGACTAGTAACTGAGCTAAATCTATAGGTTCTACCCACCTGAGTTTCAGCTGAAAGTTTGAACTTTTGGTTGCCCCAGAGAGAGAAAAGGAAAGAGAGAGAGAGAGAATCAATTTGACTTAGCACAAGCCGCGCGTGAGTCAGGTTGCCTACCGAACCTGGCAAAAAGCAATACCTTCTTTTTGCTCTCAATGCTGGTCGGAGCTCAAGGGAGAGATGTGTGCTGTACATGCATGCCTTTTGAGTGCTCTAACCTTTGTTGCCTGCTAAGTTCAAAGTTGTGAGTGCAATAGGTCTTGAAAGACCCTTGGGAAGCTCCTTGATAGTTGACTTGTCTCAGGTGGTGCTTTTAAATTCTATTTGGATTGGCCCGAAGCTGAGCCTTCGGGCTGGGCAGTGCACGGACGGGCATTTGATCTTCTGCAACCTTTCGAATAGAGAATCTGGAGACAGAACCAGCAGAAGCAACCACTTCGTGGTGTCTTCCACACCTTTCGGTTCATGTTTTTGAGGTACATAATATGCATAGTGAAATCACCCAAATCCACAAACTCTGAAAACACCTGTACGATCCCAGTGTTGAGGCCTGGAAGCTGATGCACCCCATCGGAGCAACATGAGTTCGTGGGATGGGCAGCAGATGGCCCGGCTGGCTCAGACCGTGTTCTGAGTGGTGTCGAATGTTGTGTCCCCAAAGCGAACTCCTTTTTGATCGTACCAATCCCACAATATGAAATAGTTGGGAATTGAATGGCCTCCAACCTAATAGCGATGGCCTCCAACCTGAGTTGAGAGGGTAGTCTTGAGAACTAAACATGTTCTCTTACGGCTTAGGCTTAGATGTGAGGGACCTCCTTTGGTTTTTAGTGCTTTGATTGGAATAGTACGATCAAGGCCAAGGTAGTCCTTGGTCAAGTGATTGGGAAGTCGTCACTGGGTTACGAAGCACTAGGACTGGCAAGATCCTCCGTGAGATTGGATCAAGGCCGTGGAGCACATCTTCTGCGTGGCATTTACCACCGAGATCGCAAGGGGCACCCAGCACGTCACGATCGGTCGAGATGCACTCGAGATGCTAGACAACGAGCCCCAGACTTATGGGCATTGGAGCATTCATTTGTTGTTGTCCCTTCCAGGCGGGACACTTAGACCTATCATATCAAGCAAGCAATCCGATGGTCTATTCAAAAGACAGAGTCTTCAACGAATGCAGGCAGTCCCTTTTGGCTTTCTTTTCTTCCCCATTCTTGTGGACTTCCAGGTCATCAGATTCGCTGCGCCGTTTCCTCAGAGATGTCTGGCACACGGGCTGCTTGGTGGGTGTTGAGATAGACACTTGGACTACTAACTGCATCATTTCTTGATGCCATCCTGTTCCTTTGTAGATTCATTGTAGATGATCGATCCACATTTTCCCACGTCATTGCAGCCACCAAGCACTTTAGAAATGCATTCCACATTGTATAGCTGTATAAATTACAATAAAGCAATCCAAGACATGTTTCATGTATTTTCATGCGGTTTCATCGTATTATTCTTAATTTTTAACGAACATCGACCAAAATTGTAATAGAGTTACAAGTTTTATCCCTTATGGTCAGATGACCTCCGGATGGAACTCTCACTGTTGAGCCTGCGCTTTGCAGACTGGAAGCTGACCAGCCCTGCATTTGGACCACCTCTTCCGTGCCGATTGTCGTCTCCGAGTTTTTTCATCCATTCCATGCGGTGGCAGCGTCGAAAGGAATCGACAGCTGTCGAAGCGCAAAGTGACGGTAATTCGGGGACCAACAGCTTGCGCAAAGTGGCGGTGATTGGTGGTGGGGTGGCTGGTCTTGCCTGTGCTAAGCGTTTGTCCACGCGGGGCATTGGTGTTACAGTCTTTGATACAGGAAAGCGTGAGCCCGGTGGTCGAGCTTCCTCCCGTCTTTGGCGTGGCCAAGTGGTCGACCATGCGAGCCAGTTCATCACAACCACTGATCCTGAGTTCCGTGAGCACATTGCCACCTCTGGCGTTGCCCGGCCCTTCGGAAACGATGGGCGCTTTGGAAAGCTTGGCCCAGATGGCTTTGCCCCCATTGATGATGGTGTGGAGCGGTGGGTTGGCATCAAAGGCATGGGGGGCATTGTGAGATCACTGGCCCATGGCTTAGAAGTTCTTCAAGATGTGTGGGTGCCACCATCAAACGGACTACAAGCTGGACACGGTTGGAACGTCGTGGTTCCTAGACTGCAGCAAAACTGGAGTTTTGATGCTGCAGTTATTGCACACAATGGCAAGTGTGCAGAGCGGTTGACATCTTCTACACCTGCTAGAGAGGTGCATGCGCTACTTCGAACCAATTTCGCTGCTTCTTTGCCCAAAAACCCTGCACCTGGAAGTGGCACATTTACACTCAACCAAATTTATTCTTTGCTCTTCGAGGTGCCCAAAGGTGTAATGCCGGAGAGTTTTGATGCGGCTTTTGTGGAGAACGAAGATTCTTTGAGGTGGCTTTCCTCCAACACGCGAAAGCTTCAACAGAGCGCTGAGAGCGAGGTTTGGACTGCTCTGAGCTCAGCACCCTTTGGCAAGAGACACAAGGCGCCGCAGGAGTTTTTGGAAGGCACGGCCAAGGAAGCAGAGGTCATCGACCTCATGCTGAAAGCTGTGGAGAATGCCGTTTCCTTGCCTTCTGGGACTCTGAATGGAGAGAAAGGGAAGGTGAAGGCGACAAAGCTGCAGCTTTGGGGTGCCGCCGTGCCGATTAGCCGTTGGGCGAGCAGAGATGGAGTTGATTTTGTGTGGTCTGCTACGCATAGCATTGGCATTGCAGGGGATTGGCTTAGCTCCAGTCCAGAGCGAGCTTCTACCATTGAAGCAGCTTGGATCTCTGGAGTTCGTTTGGCAGACCACATCGCCAGCCACGCGCAAGACGATGCGGGCCTGCAATTAGGTGAAAACGGTGGGGTCTTTGTCCCTGTGGATGGAGAATTTGGCAGCAGTGGGAGTGAAGCAGCGGCCTGGGTGGATCCTCAAAAAGGCAAAGGGAAAGGCCGTCAAAAGGGCGGCAAGTCAAAGGGCAACAGCCGTGGCCGCAGATAACACGTCTTCAGATTTCAAAAGACATCGAAGTTTCAGCAAGCATCGAGAAAGAAGCCTTTAACAATCAGCTGAGGAACTGGAACTGTAATCAAAGAGAGGTTTTGTATATAAGGTCTCTTCACAGAGCGTCATGCCGCGCTGTTTTGGGTTCCGCCCTATTTTGAAGGCCATTTTTGACCCTAGCTTTGGCGGCGTGACTATGTTGATCTCTCCATTTTTCAAGTCTGCACCTTCATTGCCAGGTTTCGGCGGAAGAGGGACTCCTTGAAGGATTTCTGGCGACTTAGCGTAGTTTCGTCGCGGGCCATTGCTTTGGTGGGCCATTGCTTGGACACTACCATGGACTCTAAACCAGCAAAGACATCAGCTTAAACCTGAGGTCTCGACATGTTTTTACTATGTTTTTATATTATCTGCTTAGACCACTGATTCCCACTGTCGAGGTTTTGCTTTGACTCTTCACTGGTAGTCTTGATGATTGGCCGGGCATCCTAGAGCTCTCAGTCTACGAGTGGCTTTTTGGCTCAATGAAGTATATCAAATTCCAACATCTCACACAACAACCGCCAGAGTGGTGTATATAAACATAAAACCCCGCGAAAAAGAAGAAAGCACACGCAATAACAACTCACATGGAAACTCTTTTGTACATTAAGGCTAGTAATTACAACAAGGTGTTCAAATGTATTTTCCTGCCAACTGACCTTCCGATACTGTTCCCAGCCGTTGATTCTTGAGGTGAGGTTTGGGTGTTGCCCATCGCAATGTTCTTTGCCAGAGCCTCGGGACAGTGTGGGCAGCAAAGGGGATTCTCCAATCTCTTTGGTGTGCCGCTCATTTTCCTTCAGTAGCTGGAACGCTTGTCCTCAAAGTTGTAAAGAACGGTATGTGGAACAAACGTCATCCATTTGACCCTCCAGAAAGCGGCTTCCCAAGCCAACACCAGTTGGTGGATACACAGCACCACCTCAGAAGGGATTCGTTGAATCATAGAAGATCATAGAAGCTCATTCCAACCCATTGGAATCGTGCATCTTTCTCTTTTGGCCGAATCGCGAAGAGAAAGCATCGATCGATTCCATCTTCCAACAGTCGTCGGACATGCCTTTGAGGCGGGCCTCTTTGGTTCGGAGCAGACGGAAATTCACAACGCCTGGGACCTCGAAACGACGCCTTGGTCGAAGAAAACGCGTTCTTGTTCAAGAAAAAGCATGTGCAGGGGGTGTCCATTGGAGACTGGAAAGAAAGAACCCAATTACATTCATGATTCAATGGACTTAAATGGGTTGAATCAGACGTCATTTCACCCCCTGGGTTTGAGTGTATATAGACACGTTCAGGACTAGCAGCATCAAAGCACACTATTCAATTTTGATCAAATTTGATGTTATATAAAAATAGTTTTCGATCAGATGACCATCAAAGGTTGAGGAATAATTCTATTTGCGCTGCCACAAATGATCCAAATGCCTGTGGTCTTTATCTCGCAGACATGTTGCGGTGATTGTGACAAATAGCTGGACATGTGAAGTGCAATGTACCAGCACTGCTGATGGTCTACCTTTGATGTTGGACGCATTTGGATAACCCCACTCCAAAAAGAAATTGTTCTGCAGAGGCTATCACCCATACCTGTAGAGTTTTGTGAACTTGCATCAGTAGAAACGAACTCTCCTAATTGAGTCCCCCCCAAAGCCCTGTCCTTTTCGGAGGCCCCAACGAAAAAGCATCCACCAAACGTGTCAGAGAAATCTGACACGCACTGACTCCGCTGCGACTGACCAGGTGAAAGAACTGACGATCCTCCGGACGGTGCGCTTGCTTCGCCTCACCAGGCTTCGGTTTGTCGAACGGAACCGAACCGATGGGTCCGTCCGAACGAAGGTGCAATCCAAAGGCGAAGCTAAGCGTCGGTGTCTTCGTTGGTTCCGAACGAAAGTCGAGGTCCTTTGGAAAGGCTTTGGAAAGCTTTGGGTGTTCTTTCATGAAAGATATGAAAGGTCCTGACTTTCTGCCCACACCGGTGGCCAACCGTCCCACATGGTTTGTTCGTTCATGAAGACTGTTTGTCCTTTCAAGTGGAGGTCACAAGAGCAGAAAGCACTGCATCACGGGGCTTTTTGATGCTTTTTGTTTTCCCAGAGATGTCAAATAACCTGAATCAGCTAGTTACATAGTTGTTGAGGGATATGATTTCTCGCCCAAGGTCCAAGGCATTTCCATACCGTTTCCCAAGATGGCTTTCAACACTCTCTCCTCTCTCTCTCTCTCTTTCTTTCTTTCTTTCTTCTAGGGGCTCCTGGCCTTACTACTAGGAGCAAGAAGCCACTAGGAACAAAGGGCATCGCTTCTAGGAACAAGGACGCTACTAGGGGCTCCTGGCCGTACTACTAGGAGCTCAGTGGCTCGGCTTTCCAGGTTGGGCCGCATCGCGCGGCTCTTGCGGGCGGTGCCCGAAGTCGTCACGCTGCTGAAGGTGGATGGTGACACCACGCTGGCAAGACGGAAACCAGACTGAAACCAATTTACGCAACAAGAAGCTATTAGGTTGGAGGCCATTACTAGTATCAAGGACGCGACTAGTATTGGTTGAGGGAGGTTTGCTTCTTTATCTCCCCAACTTTGAGTCGACCGCTATGACCATGACTCCGTATCATGATGCAAGTGTTTCCACAACTCCTTCGCAACCTTTCTGAGGACACTGTGTAGGAGTTTGCCTTCAATGCTGCGCTGTTGAGACCGTGGTATGCCTCATCCAACAGGGCCTTAGAAGAAGACCCCTACGTCCATACGTGGTGGGCTCCTCCTTTTGGCCTTCCAATTCTTATCTACTCCGATACATGCTGCATCATGTTGCATTAATGAAAGCACTACGCAAAATTCATTGAACCCTTTGCAGGGCATTGCAGCTGCCATCCGCTCGGTGTTCTTCACCCTTCTGCTGCTGTTGGTTGCTGAGGACCAGAGTGGATAGGCAGACATATTTCCATTTGTACAGTACCTTGTACATTCTGGGTTGCGTATATAAACAAACACCTTCCCCGAATTTGTTGTATGATAACACAATTGAAGCCTGCAAATGGCAAAGACCACGAATCCTAAGACGTGGGGAACAACCACATGCTTTCAGGCTCTCTCATGGTTGGTCATCAGACAATAGAAAAGTACGTCTTCTCAGGGTAGCTGAGCCTTGCAGGTGATATCAAAAGATGTGAGCAGGATCTGACTTGTGTGTTTTTAAGCTTTTTTGATAGAGGTTCTATCAGGTCTTCAGCACGCTCTCCTTGGTGTTATCCCTGCGCCAAACAATGGCTAGTACTGTTGCACTCTGCTTGATTCTGTAATTATACATTATGTATTTGAGCTTGACCTCGCGGACTTGAGCAAATTCCAGTGTTTGTTCTTCCAGTACCATGTCCAAGTACTCAAGCCTCCGAAGTCACCTTGGTCTATGCAACCCTGTCAGACACACTTAGTTGGGTGCTCGCAAGAGCTAGGTTCAGAATGAAGTCCCACTTTAGTGATTACATTAGCAGCTGCATTGTAGACCTTGACTTGCAAACCGAATGGTGAAAGAGTCGGCGTCACTTGTATTGTTGAACATGGGTGAAACGGACAAGGCTTCCAAAGCTTGAAAAGTTTGCAGGTACAAGTCTGTGCGTCCACAGACTCATCCGCCCATTTCTTTAGCTTCGTTGGCTAGCGTCGAGAAATGGTCCGCTAGCCCCCTGCCTCTTTTTGCTCGCGCTGTTTAAATTTAGCTTTACATGCTAGACTCGACATTGTGTGCGGCCTTGGAAACAGGCTTTGACACACTTAGGATAGGGTGTACTGAACTGAAAGCGGTGCCACACGCCGGCCTAGGGTTCCATTTCCTAAGAGTACCAGTAGGAAGCCATCGAATCCTGGGGGTCTTCAAAAGGAAAGGAGGCCCAAAAGGAAAGGACCGAACGACGAACGAACAGGCTGACGACGTACGCTCACATCTGCAGATGCATTAGCACTTTACCAAAGGATTAAAATTCGCAAGTACGTCCAGCAAGACTCAAAACACGAAACGCGAGTAGCGATTAGTAACAGAACCACATGAACCACCATGAAAGCAAACCACAGCGAGAACAACAGGTAACCAGTTTGGCAGGTACGTTTACACGGGCCCCAGAGGAGGTCTTCGTTGGCCACCGTTCCTCTGGGGCCCCGGTGGCCCCCTGCTGCGCAAGGAAAACAACTGTGAAGCTAAAACAATCCGAAAGGATCCCTATGATTCCAAGGGTTACACACACACGCCTCCCCGAGGGGAGGCAAGAATTCCAATCAACGAGGCAACGACGTGTACTTCGTCCCCAAGTAGTGGTAAGGCCAGGAACCTCTAGTAGCGTCAAAGAAACACCTAACACCTAGTAGGAAGGCCAGGAGCCCCTAGTAGCATCCCAAGCTAAGGTGCCGACAAGAGGGAGGGGTAGGGAGAGACGAGAAAAAGGAGAGACAAGAAAGGAAGGTGTTCCCAGCTACGACGCATGCGTCCAAGGACACACCAAAGGAAGAGAGGAGAAGGTTCCCAGCTATGACAAAAGCATCCAGGGACACCCAAGGAGGGAGGAAGGAGAGAGAGAAGGAAAGAAAGAAAGAGAGAGGGAGAGAAAGGGAGAGAAGAGGAAAAAAAGGAAAAAGGCAGGTGTTCCCAGCTACGAACAAGCGTCCAGGGACACACCAAAGAAAGAGAGGGGTGATCCTGAGTGTTGCATTCAGGAAAACCCCAGGAAGCAAAGAAAGAAAGGGGGAAGGGAAGGGGGAGAAGGGGGCTAAGGTCCCAACAGGTTCCAATGAACCTCAAAATACTTTGACCGCTGTGGTCACCTTGTGCCCTGCCGAAGCGGCTGGCTGCTTAGACCGCTGCGGTCACGTAAAGGCATGAGCCAACTTGGAATTCCAAAGATGAGACAAACATCCCACTTCTTGAGGCATAAGCCATCTACTGTCCGCTCCCGGCACGTACATCTCCAAAGCAGGGGAGATAACGACGTACCCCCGTTCGACGGGTCCACGGGAGGCACTCTGCGGGCTCATCCCGGGTTGGCGCGAGGCCAAACACACTTAGGATAGGGTGTACTGAACTGAAAGCGGTGCCACACGCCGGCCTAGGGTTCCATTTCCTAAGAGTACCAGTAGGAAGCCATCGAATCCTGGGGGTCTTCAAAAGGAAAGGAGGCCCAAAAGGAAAGGACCGAACGACGAACGAACAGGCTGACGACGTACGCTCACATCTGCAGATGCATTAGCGCTTTACCAAAGGATTACAATTCGCAAGTACGTCCAGCAAGACTCAAAACACGAAACGCGAGTAGCGATTAGTAACAGAACCACATGAACCACCATGAAAGCAAACCACAGCGAGAACAACAGGTAACCAGTTTGGCAGGTACGTTTACACGGGCCCCAGAGGAGGTCTTCGTTGGCCACCGCTCCTCTGGGGCCCCGGTGGCCCCCTGCTGCGCAAGGAAAACAACTGTGAAGCTAAAACAATCCGAAAGGATCCCTATGATTCCAAGGGTTACACACACACACCACGCCGATATCGGCGCTCAAACGAATTACTAGCCACCTAACAAGCCTTAAAAAGACAGAAAAAGAAAAACAAAAAGAGCAAACGAAGAGGGGAAGAGAGAAAGGTAGGGGTAGTGACGAGGCCCCCTAGTTACTGAACCTCTAGTTACCGTCTCTATGGTTAAAATTGGTGGAAAACTTGAGAATGTGTGCAGCCTTAAAAATGGGCTGTGACACACACTTATGGATATGCGTACTGGTGTGATAGCGGTGCCACTCGCCAGCCTAAGAAACCCAAATCCTGAAAAACCAGGTGAGGAAACTTAGAAAGGAAAAAGAGGACCTAGAAAGGAAGGAAGTAGAGTTCCATCAGCTCCAAAAGAAAAACGCCGAGCGAACGACCGACAAGGTGACGACGTGCGTGCAAAAGGCCAAAATCATCGCCGCTGAAGGAAACAACGAAGTAGACAGCTTGTGCTCTACGTAGGTTTCTCTTCAAGCAGGTACGTCAATCCGGCGTCCCGGATTGATTTCACCAGCACACATCCAGTGTCTTCGTTGGTGCAAGACTGGATGGGCTGCTTGCGCCCCCTGCTGTAAAACAAAAGCAAACGCAAAAGCATCCCTATGACTCCAAGGGTGACACACACGCACACGCCTCCCCGAAGGGAGGCAAGAACCTCTGCGCCTAGTAGTAAGGCCAGGAACCCCTAGAAGCACCAAAGTAGCGTCCTAGTAAGAAGGCCAGGAGCCCCTAGTAGCAACCCACACTAAGGTCCTGACAGGAGGGAGGGGAGGGAAGAGAAAAAGAAAGAGAAGAAAGGAAAGGGGAGGAAGGTGTTCCCAGCTATGACACAAGCGTCCAGGGACACACCAAAGGAGGAGAGGAAAAGGTTCCCAGCTATGACGAAAGCATCCAGGGACACCCAAGGAAGAGGGAAAAGAGAGGGAAGAGAGAAGGAAAGAAAGAGAGAGCCACGTACGGCTTGCCCGAAGGCTGCCAGCTCTGACCGCTGCGGTCACGTAAAGGCATGAGCCAACTTGGAATTCCAAAGATGGGACAAAATCATCGGACGTACGGCCTAGGCCACCTTCACCCGCTGTGGGCACGTACGTTTCCCGAGCAAGGGAAACAGCGACGTACACCCGTTCGACGGGTCCACGGGAGGCACTCTGCGGGCTCATCCTGGGTTGGCGCGTAGCCAAACACACTTATGGATATGCGTACTGATGTGATAGCGGTGCCACTCGCCAGCCTAAGAAACCCAAATCCTGAAAAACCAGGTGAGGAAACTTAGAAAGGAAAAAGAGGACCTAGAAAGGAAGGAAGTAGAGTTCCATCAGCTCCAAAAGAAAAACGCCGAGCGAACGACCGACAAGGTGACGACGTGCGTGCAAAAGGCCAAAATCATCGCCGCTGAAGGAAACAACGAAGTAGACAGCTTGTGCTCTACGTAGGTTTCTCTTCAAGCAGGTACGTCAATCCGGCGTCCCGGATTGATTTCACCAGCACACATCCAGTGTCTTCGTTGGTGCAAGACTGGATGGGCTGCTTGCACCCCCTGCTGTAAAACAAAAGCAAATGCAAAAGCATCCCTATGACTCCAAGGGTGACACACACACATCACGCCGATAGCGGCGCGAAAGTACTAGCCACCTAACAAGCCTTAGAAAGACAGAGAAAGAAAAGAGAGAAAGAGCAAGCGAAGAGGGCAAGGGAGAAAGATAGGAGTAGTTACGAGGCCCACTACTTACGAAGCCTTCTAGTTACATGAATTAAATGCAATAGTTAGCGAGCGGGACTTTAGTCTTAGACGCCAAACACACTTAGGATAGGGTGTACTGAACTGAAAGCGGTGCCACAGGCCGGCCTAGGGTACCATTTCCTAAGAATGCCAGTAAGAGACCCGCGGATCCTGGGGGGTCTGCAAGAGGAAGTGAGGCCAAAAAGCGCAAGATCGAGGACGGAGCGACGGGATGACGGCGGGTCGTGCGTGAGCCATGTCTCTGAGGTTCTGGGCTTAGCCTCATGCCATTCAGAAGAATCGGAAAATCGCAGGTACGTTCGGATGATCAGTCCGAATATCCCACTCTGTGACCTAGCTTCGTTGAACTGGGTCAGTCACAGAGTGCCCAGTTCATTCCAAGAACACAACTTCACTGCCGTAGGCCGTAAGGTCTATCAAATTCACGAGAGTATATCATCATCGGTTCTCTCTCTCTCTCTCTCTGTCTTTGGGTCATTACTTGCAGTCGCTGCTCCAACTCGGTCATTCCTACAATCTTTAAACCTCACTACATCTGATCATTTCACTTTGCAGAACCACCTATGCACAATCTACAGGCACTTCTGCCTAGCCTTTTCCTGGTGTTTACTTCCCCTGCTGAAAGGAAAAAACTACAATCCAACGGGATCCCTGTGATTACAAGGGGCACACACACATAGAGATAGAGAGAGAGAGAGAGCTAAGAACACATATTCAGAAAGTGGCTCAACGGTGTTTACTGCAATTAGATCTTGGCTGAATGAATGGTATGGCGATGGGTCGGAGGAACAGAATGTTTCAACAAAGCGCATGGTCGGCCCTTTATGGAAGAGTGGAGTAAAAGCTTGGACAGTTCAAAAAGCAGGTACGTAACTCCGGCGTCCCAGAGTTATATCACAGTGCAACAGATGCGTCTTCGTTGGCTGGAGACATCTGAAGCTTGAATTACATGCAAGTGGGTTGCAAAGTGGAAGGAAACTGTTGGTAACCCTTAGAGACAGGGTGTGACACACACACACACACACACCCGCACACACGCCTGCGTTGCTGCTGGATGCGGGGCCGCGCTGTGCAGCTACCGAGGTTGGTGCTTCTCTTTGTGTTTGGGGTGGTCTTCAAGACACAAGCGAAAGAGGTGCGGTTCTCGTCGGATTGGTCAACAGTGGCGGTCAGGGCTACTATGTATTGCTGCTAAAAGATGCGAAAAGAACATGGATTGAGCACAGCAGTTCACTCATGAAACGATGTAATGTAGCTTTGGTTTTGTTGTCCTGAGCATGTGTCCCTCTTTGATTAAACCCAAGCAAGGATCATCTCAATGTTTTTGCTGACTATCCCTGCAAATACTGTAGTCTACTAAGGTTGAATCAAATGTTTTCTGTGAAATTTTCGTTTGCACTGTCCTCAAGCTCTGATGACGGGGGCATACGTTGAGGGCAGACGTCGGAGGTCTTGCTCCGTTGCTCCTCAGTTTCTTTTTGGGGAATATCAGTTGCACTTATGCAAGGCACGGGAAACGAGATGCCAACCCATTCCTTCCGAAGCTGGAGGATTTTCCGCAGCTTGAGGAGCTGTTCCCGAGCGTGCCGGTGGCCCATTGGCCGAATTGGCCACCGACTGACCACGGACGTATCAGAAATCTTGTCGGGCAATGGACAATATTCTATATTCCGGGACCACATGGGAGCACCGCTCCACAACAGATCCTCCTTGTCCTATCCCTTGAGCCTATGCTTGAATTCTCCCAGCAGTTATGGATCGAACTTCAGACTCCATGGTTGACACCATCTATCATCTAGAGCCAACACTGAGGGCCACATTGTCCCTATCAGCATCGTAGCCCCAACAGGCGTTGACCATCCAAAGTAAGGCAACAATGCAAATCATAGTCATGCTTCAGCTGCAGAGTTCGGCAATAAAGAGCAGCTGGAGAGCCGGGAGAGGCCTCATGGGCTATTTTGAAGTATGCGAGCTCGGGAATCAAGGTATCCTAGTCAGTCGGCGCCATGCCTAGTCGGTTCTTGTCAGCAAGAGAAGACAGAGAAGCATTTGCCATGTCGAGCTGGTGAGCCAAAATGGCGGCAGTGTGGGAGGATTGGGCGACATGCCTACATGCGAGAGGATCAAACCCTTTCATTTCCACAAAGGTGGCAACCTTATGTGCCACCGTCAGCTAGAATATGTCCTAGCTACCACCTTCAACCAATTACCAAAAAATGCTGCCATCCAATTGACTGCCCAGTTTCCTGCTTGTGATAATCTGACCTAGCAATACAGGTATCTCACTTAAGGTACGATTGTTCTGTTTAAAGACTCGCAGACCAGACCAAATGCCCCTGGAGGCCGCGAAATGTGCAGCCGGCTCTCCCCTTTTGGTTTTTGGCAAGCTGGGAGTCCTGGAGAGCATCCAGGAGGAGATTGCTGAAGTTTGGGGCAGCATGCTCTCCATACAAGATCAATACAAGCATTTGTGAGAGTGCCTGAGGGGCATGCAATTGAACACAGCTCAAAGCAGATGACAATAGCCCAGCCTGGCTTCTTTTTTGTAAGAATCCACCGGAATGAAGGCTGTCCCGGCAGGAGCCAGGACTTTGGCGTAGCGCGGTGCGCGTGGGCCTTACCCACACCGAAGGCAGGCGAGTTCACTTCAGACGAAGCAACAAAACAAGAAACCCTGGAATTTAATTAGAATTGTAATTACTAGCTTTTTGTTACTACTAGTAAGGCACCTGTTACTACTAGCGTGGCACTTGTTCCTAGTAGCGAACATTGTTTCTAATAGCCGTTCCATTGCTTAGTTGGAGTCTTTGTATTCCAGTCGATCTTTTTCAGACATGGATGATAGGGGTGAGGAAGCCATTTGGTGGGTGGATAAATCTCCAATTTGAAAGCGCTCTTGATGCTTTCCGACAACTCTGGGTCTTTGGCTCGCACATGCTTTTAGGGCTCAAAGAAATAGCCCATTTGAGGCCATAACTGGCCCTAACATCTTTAGTTCTGTTCAAAAGGTAGGTCAGCATCCTCTTAGTCACGCGCTCTTCAACTCGAACTTCGGACATACCAAAGTCATAAAGGGAGACAGATAAACAGAATTGCTTCGAGTCTTTGGCAATGTCGCCGCAGACAGAGTGACCTGGGTCACTCTGACACTGGATGCACTCCTCATTATTATGGATGCTAAGTTGAGCTTTTTTCTCGGCTTCCTTTTGGGCACTACTGTGACCTTGACCATTGTCAAGAGTGGTGCCGTCATTTGGACCCTGGATGTATCTTACAGGATCGGAGAACAAGTGGATGTGCATGCAAAGCAGTCACCATCGCAAGAGTTGAGTTTTCGTTCGCAAGAACCATGCAAACAGAAGAACCCCGCTTGCCCAGACAACCTAGGGAGCATTACAAAAGCGATCAATAGTAGCGGATCTGACAAACTTTGGTTTCACCACTACGAACGATACTACGAAAGGTGGCTACAAGACTTCCGCTGCAAAAGAGGCCTGAAACTGGTGGAAATCGGTGCGCAGCATGGGCGTTCCTTAAAGGTTTGGAGCGACATCTTTGTGTCGCCCAAGACAATCCTGGGCGTGGCTTATGGTAAATCTGCCCAGGATGTGGAAAAGGCGCTTGGACCAAAGACATCTGTGATGTGGGGTGATCAGTCCAAAAATACAACAATGCAGGAACTCATAAAAAGAGGACCTTGGGATATCATCATCGATGACGGCTCGCATTATCCCCCTCATATGACTTTCAGCTTATTTTCTTTGTGGAGATCGGTAAATCCCGGGGGCTTGTACATCATCGAAGGTTTGGAGACCAACTACTGGGAGCACGGTACCAAGCTGTATGGATATGTGATGCAACACACTGGCATCAATGCAACCGCCCAGTATTCGGTAGTGAGGAAAATCGAGCAGATCACGCAAGTCCTGATGCGCTATCATCTTGGTGCTGAAAATCTGAGTGTCATGCCAGGGGATGATAGACTTTGTTCTGTGGAGTGGGGAATGAATTTGGTGAAGCTACGCAAGTGCACTGAAGCAGAGTATGAGACGCACCCCAGATACAAGAGAAAAAAAGCATCCCTGAATGTGATCAACGAGTGGCTGATTAAGGCCAAATCCACCAATCCTTTTGTTGCAAAGTCCAGCAAGGGTGCCAGTTGAGTATTCATGGAGTGTATGACTGTACGAGCAGGTTTGAAATCGCCAGATACTTGAATACTGCCAAGCAAGCTTGGCAGGGAGGTTGTGTATCCCAAAGCTGGCAGTAACGTGGCAAAGCTTGAATTCTGAACTTAGCAGCCAAAAGTCGTGCGCCGATCCAATGGATGTTTACACGTTCCGGTGTGGCTTTGCATGTGGATTTTTTGGACCAGAGCGTGTGGTGTTTCGCTTGATTGTGTGAAACCCACCATTTCCAATGCCGACACCTGATGAGACCGAACAAACGCAATGAGTGACACAAGCATTCTGGAGGTGCTCATCCCGCACTGCTTCTTGCCAAGAACGAGACCTTAGCAGGCACAGAATGAAGGCTTCAAGAGCAGTCCTTGAAAAAGATAGGATCGGCTTCATAAGGATTTAGCATGATTGAGCATATAGATAGATAGATCCATCGATCAGATTTGCTTTTACAGTTGAACAACACTTTCTTCTGTTAGGCCATTGCTCTTGGTCCGTGGTTGAGATGTGCAGACGGAGTCATGCTGGCTTGCAGAACTAGATACTCAAGACAGCTCTAGCAGCAGCACTTATGTTTAGTGGGTGTTCGGGTGCTGGGCTGCTTAAGAAGAATGTCGTCAGAATACAAGCTCCAGCCCGCTCTAGTGACTAGCAGCATGCTGTTCAGCTGAGCCTTCACAGGTGGCCTCGGTCAACTTCAAGACCTCTTGAGAGAGATGGGTTGCACGGTGCAGATTGTGGAATCGTTGGAAGGAGAGACTTGAGAGGCGCTCTTGCTAAATTTATTATATAGATAATTACATTGTTGTATTCGCTTTTGTTCCACGTCTTGGTGAATCTTAGTTTACACATGTGCTGCTTACGTACTAGTGACTGGTTTGGGGAGAAGTTTGTCAAAGCGCAAGCCAGTTTAGGGGCTTGCACCCTTGCCCTTGTAGCTCTTCCGAACACCATGAAGAACTGAAACTGTTGGAAGTTTCAAAGTCTGAAAGAAAGCATATTCAAAACCTTTTGCTGAAGGCACTGCAATCACCAGAGCAGTAAAAAAACATACGTAAGACAGGAGGTGTTTGGGTGTGGAGAGTTCATGACCAGACCAGACTTGCGGGTTGCTGTAGTGTTTCAGAGCTACCGCAAGGAGCACCCCACGCCTCAATGCTGTTGGTAACGCCAAGCTTGGCAAGAGAGACCTTCCGCAGCTTGAGGGAGAAGCCACGTCCCGGTCATAGACTTAGCTTTTTCGGTCAAGCTTCTGACTTTGTCAAGACATCAGCTTGGAGCGCATGCATGGGGCATCGTGCGACCAAAGAGTAGCATCCAAATATGCCTTAGCTAACATAGGATGGGCCATGGTACAGCCGCTATGAGAAAAGCATACGGACAGTCTGGGTCGGTTGCAGCGGACGACTCCCAGGCTGCAAACAAAAAGATCCCGCTGCAACCACCCGATCATCACTGGCAATCGTCCAGTTGTGGAACATTGACAGATGCTAGCATTTGTTAGCATGCTAGTACTCGTTTGCTTAATCCTGCTTTGGTGGTTTTAAAGTGGTAATTACATTCCACATACTGTAAATGGTGAAGAGGTACATTGAGCAGGAGGTCCAAAGAGGCAAACGGTTAGCTTTGGTGGACGTCAGGTTGCATCGTGGTGCTGCTTGGCCTTCCTTCCGAAGGTTTGCTTCACATTCATGAGGAGGCATTCCGTGTTTCCCCTTTTCGCACGTGTGGCATGGGACACTTTGAGCTCGGCAATTTAGATCCATTCAGTTATCCTTGCCCAACAGAGAGGGTCTCAGCTTTTTGCATGTCTCGCCACGAAAGCTGTGTGCCAGAAAGAAAGCTTTGTTCAACTTCGATAGAAGACGGGACATAGTGCTTGGAGGAGCCGCCAACCATGATTTTTGGCCTCGGGCACGAGAACGGCAAAGAGATACTTGGCGTGTTGGCGTTGCGGCGTGGTTGTGCCGAAGTGATGTCGGCCTTCAGCTCCAGCACAAGAGGTTTGCGCGCTCGAATCTCAGTGGTGCTGCAAATCACCGAGTTCTTGATAGTTTGTTTGGTAGAAGCCAGGACATGTTGCCGTTTTTGCCTGCCAAAGCCATCCTTGTGACAAGTGCCAGTATACAGCAAGTTCATCATGAGCTTAGACCAGATGCGGTACGGGTTGTGTAGAATCTCGAAGTTCTGAAGTGATTTGTTCGAGAGATGCACAGAGCCGTTGGACGATGTCCCGACAGCGCCACTTTTCCAGCGATTAGGACTCATCGTTGTTCGCAGGGACCCATCTCACTGGGTCCCAGTGAGGACCTTGCAGGAGCGTCCTTGCTCCTAGTAGTACGGCCAGCCCCTAGTAGCTTCTTGTTCCTAGTAGCGATGCCAGGAGCCCCTAGTAGCTTCTTGTTACCACTAGTAAGGCACTTGTTACTAGAAGCGATGCACTTGTTCCTAGTAGCTTCTTGTTCCTACTCTGAAAGCTCAGGACCTTAAGCTTGAGTCAATGGGAAGAGCTTCGAGAATCCTCCGGACAGGCGCAGACGCCACGAGTGATCCGAAGCGTCCGAGACGGCAGGTGGAACGGATGTGAACGGTCGATCGTTCGGAGAGAAGATGCCATTGGTGGCACGGTTGGGCTGTTTGGGACACACCACTTTGGTGGCTTGCAGCGTTTCTGATTTTATTGGCATACCGTATATATAGTAACTGAAGAAGAAAAGCAAGGGCTCAAATTTGGGAGCCTGGTGTCGGAAGTGATCAACAGCACAGAAAACTACCAAATCGCCCTCGAACGAGACCTGTAAGCTGCCGCAGCGCCCGCCTAGCAGTCCGGAAGGTGGATGACCATGTCACCATTGCTCCTTATACACATCCAGTTATTTGTCAGGTCAGTGCTCACGAACAAGCCTGAGTCTGACTTGCTAAAGTGAATCTTTCAGGATCCAACCACAGGGGTGCAAGTGGCCAGTTGAATATCAAGCTAATTCAAGATATATATCTTGAATCGCAACGCAGCATCGACAGGGCTCCTCGCTTCACGGCCTGGCGCTCGGCCAACTGGGCGGATGCTGCTGCTACTTCGATGGCCGGATTGAAGCCCTGGCACGGACGCCCAAAGGGTTGGACCCTGTCGAGGGTTTGACAAGAGCGAATAAGCAGATGCCGCGAGCCGCTTGTTTGGGGTCGGGTTGTGGAACTTCTACGGTGGTCCGACGACTCCGCCCCAAGAAGAAGTGTCAATGACACTGCTTCGCGGAGAGACAAGAAGTGAGGTTCTCAGAGTTGAACTGCTGGAAACCCAACGGAATCAAGATGTTCATTGATGTCTGGGATTCTTCAGATTGCACATCTGACGCATCCATCACTTGGGCTCGCAGAAGGGCAGTGCCTGACTGGGTCCGGTGGGAGAGTTGCAGTTTCCATCAAAGATTGACCTCGCACACATAGGCAGCCGCAAATCGCTCAAAGTCGGTGTGGGTGTCATCGATTGATGCGTGTCGGCAAACCTTGCGAGGAAGTGGCAGCCATACGCTTGTGCCCTGAAGGCTCCAAACTACGGTGGGGAGTCTAAGCCGCAGTGTTCACCAACATATCCGCCTTGTCAGCGTTTATTAATGTTTATTCGAATTATTCAATATAATCTTAGAGGATTCCCCAGTGATGAGTGATGAAATACTTTGGATGTACTCAGGTCTGTAGCTGTACACAATCTGAGATGCACAAGAACCAGGTTCTCCAACATAGTAGTTTCTTCCAAAGCTCTCACCTCCCTTGCGTTCGTTCGCTCTCTCGCTCCGTTCTGTCTCTCACACTCTCTCTCTCTCTCTGTGTTGCCCTTTCTCTTTTCCTTTGCTTTTCTTCTTTTCTTGGATCTTCTCTTCTCGTCACATCTCTTCTCTGATTGCTTGTGATAAGCTTCATCACTTGAGCCAAGAAGCAGGTGGGAGTTATTCGAACCTGACGGCAACGCTGAGAAGCTGCCGAAGGGCCTGGCGCCCTTCTCTTCCCCCATGCACGCGGCGGTGCCCCGGCTGCAGCGTGGCTTTGCTGGTTGAGGTCACTTCAACTGGGGATCCAGGCCGCCACAACCAATTACATATATATATATATATGGTCTCCCGTCCCCGGGATTAAAGAATAACGCACCGATTCATTCTTATTCTGTAGTGTTTCGGCTTTAGATGACCTGCCGTGACTGCCATAGCCGCTTGGAGCTACCCATCGGTTCGTCTGGCTGCTGTGACCCGTGCTACCTGTCCAGCAAGGTCAAGAAAGTCGTGGCCACTAGGTATCCAGCTTCGAAAGGAAAAGAGTTGATATCCTATTTGGCCAAGGTCCTGACCACTCTCGAACGGGACTGCGAGGTTTTCGAATCGGATCGAACTGCTGGCACTGTCGATTCGAGAGGCTACCTCATCCAGGACAAGAAGAGTCCAAAGGCCACTGAGAAAAAGGAGGGTGACAAAACTCCTAAAGCGGCTGTGGCTGCGGGGGTTCACCCTGGCAAGGCGAGTCCTACAGCTGGCCCCTCCACGGCAGTTAAGGAGGAGATCAGTGATACAAGCAAGGGCAAGAAACCTACTCCGACACGTTCGCCCTCAAGACATCGACGGAGGCGCCGCTCCCGTAGCCGGAGGCGAGAGAGGAAGCAATCTCGGGGAAGTCCAAGCCCTGTGGTTGTCGAGGAGCAGGCCGAAGCAGTGAGTATCGGGCCTGAAGTGGAAGAAGAAGTTGCAGAGGAAGGAGAAGAGGAAGAGGAACAGGTTGGCAGTCAGGACGACGAAGTCATCCGAAATCCACAGAAGTTCGAGCTGCGGCAGACAGCTAAGCCTTCAAGCAGGAAGCCATTGCCGAGGAGGCCACGGACACCATCCGTGGGTATCGTGCAAGAGACCCTGCCCCGCTCAAGCGGTGGAAAGGCTGGGCACACGTCTACCGAGGGCAAGAACGCCAGTCGAAGGGTAAAGCCTTGGTCACTCTAAAGGTAGGTCCTGTGCAGATGCCACGCCCTTTTGTGTGTCAAGCTGCGCAATGGTTCCCAAGAGTGTTTTCTTTTATTTCTAATTCAGCCAGGTGGTCTGCGGAGTCCTCGACTTTGTCCGAGCGTCTAGCTGGACCCAAAAAGACGATTTCATGTTTGCTGCCGGGATGCCGGTTCACCCACACACTTCCTTGACCACACCCATTGTGTGGCCTATGTGAATGCCTGTGCCCTACATCATTCCACTCTTTGATGTTGTTTGCAAAGGGTCGTGAAAGACATCCTGTAGTTTTTGTTGACTGGTGCAATGGTTCCAAGTCTTTTCAGCAAGATTGCGGCTCAATATCACAAGACCTTTCAGTGTTTCGGACAATCGCATATGGTTTCCAAAGCAATTTTGAAGCGCTTGCGGAGGGCGCCGCAAACATCGTGGCTGTCAAAACACCGCCGGTTCATCCAAACCCAAGGCAAAATGCGCTTGAGGAGGATGAACGCCCAAGACTTTGAAGGTACATTGAATGGCTCAATTTGGGCAAATGATTTGCCGCTAGATCGGTTACCCCCTTGGCCTTTGGTGAGCCGACCTGGCGATTTGGTGAACTACCAAGTCAGCCTTGCTTTGGAAGTTGGCCACCCGGTACTTGTGATAGATCATTTGGGCCCAGTCGATTTTAACCAATTGCCTGATAGCCTATTTGAATGTCAGTGTGGCCACTGCTCTTGATGCAATAAGACTTCAAGAGCTGGGCAGCGTGGACACGGGGACTCTGGTTCCAGGATTGCTTGGAATCCTTGGGGGAAAAGTTATTGAGTGTTCAGCGGAAGCGTCCAGAGATTCGTTTTAACTTTAAAACTTTAACCACTCATCAGAGTGCTTTGCTGACCCCATCGTCAATTGACAAAAAGAACAACCGCAACATGAACGACAACACAGCAGCAGCAACAAAAAACGACAACAACAACAACTACTACAACAGCAACAGCACTGCCGCGCGACCACAAAAAACAACGCGACAGCATGAGTGGTTCAGGCACTACAAATTGCTCAGCGTAGCCTGGCTAGTTTGCCCAGCTCACCATGGAATCAGTTTTGTGTGGCGCGTGGTAGCGGAGGAACATTAAACATCCTTGTGAAAAATCACATGAATATCATGACCTAGCTCAGTAAGACATGAACATTGGGATAACTTTGTAATTGCATCCTTGGCCCAGCCAAAGCTGGAACACCGATTCATTTTGGAACACCGATTAGCGAGAAAATTCTTTACAGTATGACACGTGGAAGGACGTCAAGTCGCCGTTTGAGGAGAACACTCTGCCGAGTAAATTCGCTCTTGCTAGCGCGCAATGTGGTGGGTCTTTGGGGATATGTGAGCACTGACCTCAACCCGGCGGATCGTCCGTCGAGGTGGGCGGTGCGAACAAAGTTCCGTCATGCCAAAGGTCGTCTTTGAAGGATCCACGCAAGCTAGAAGAGCAATTGATCGGCAGAAACTAGGCAGCTTGAAACAGCTAACAGTGCAACCTTCCACCCGTGCACGCTATGAAAAGGCCTTAAGCAAATTCCTCTCTCTCCTAAAGGCTGAAGGGCTGGAGTTACCACGTAAGCGTGAACTTTTAGACACGCTAGTCATGGAGTATGTGGAACATCTCTGGAATTCGGGGGAGGGGCGTGGACTGGCCGCCGACGCCCTGGCATCTTTGCAAGACCATGATGCAAAGTTGCGTGGACATCTTCCAGGTTCGTGGCGTTTGGTAAAAACGTGGGTAACCCATGAACTGCCGAACAGAGCACCGCCGGTTCCTGAACTGGTTTTGCGCAGCATGGTAGGATGGGCACTTTACCACGGCCATTTCGCTTTTGCCACCAGTTTGCTCCTTTGCTTTTACGGAATTTTAAGAACTGGTGAACTTCTGGATGTCAACCGAAGCCGGATCGAAATCTCGGCAAAACTTCGGACAGCAGTCGTTTCCCTGAAACTAACAAAGGCCGGGAAGAGAGCAGGCAGTGGTCTCAGTTAGTGACAAGTCACCAAAAGCTATGTCCGTCGCCACCACGATGGCGCAAATTGTTTAAACAATGCGTGGAGAGCCTAAAGTTAGAGTCGTTGGAACTGCGCCCCTACTCGCTTCGGCGGGGAGGGGCAACGTGGTGGTTTTGCCAGCACGGGAACCTAGACCGGGTGATGGTTCTTGGACGCTGGCAAGCTCAAAAAACCGCCCGAATGTACCTTAATGAATCCAGAGCCATTTTGGCTGAGACGCACCTGGGACCCCTTGAGAAGACCATTGCACCCTACCGACAGTTTTTCTTGAACGCGACCCCTAGAGATTTTGAAACACTTGAGCCGTTGCAAAGCAACAGGCAGTCCTCGAAACGAGGCCTAGGGGGACGTGGAAGGAACGGAAAAATTTCCAAAAGACCAGCGAAAAGAGCATGAAAAAGAAACGCTGGTATCCCTTGGGGCCCAGTCAGGGTCAGGGGAGTGGCCCGCCTGACTGGGGGGGGATGATTGTCCGGATACGCCCCCTTCTGTTGTGGACCAAGAATGGGGGGGGGACAATCGTTCGTGATGGGAGTTTCTTTTTTGTTCCCAAGTTTTACTGTTTGTGACACTTTTGCTGCAGAGCGAATAAGAGAAAAGGTGCTGCTTATTCTTTATATATATAATCGTTGTTATATATGTATATGTATACAATCATGTATTGTTTGATCATGTGTATATATGTAGATGACTCTCACTCAACCAAAGAAACATAATCTATGTGTCTGACCCAGATGTATGTTTGGGAATGAGACAGCTTGAAACTTCAGCCCTTCCCCCAAATTTGCAGGCTGACTTCATCTCAGCAGGCTGCGCTTTAGCTTTTACAGGCGCTGGCATCTCCAAGGCGGGCTGCCAACCGCCAGCGTTAGGCTGGCTTTATGGTCACTCCCGACAGAGAATATCATGAGCCCTTCGCATATCCAAGAACTTGTAGTGTGTGGAAGGTAGGTCAACAGGAGTTTCAGGATTGACCTTGAAAGGTCTGGTCAATGCAAGTCACATCCCAAAGGATTTGATTGTAGTATATAGTTCAATGGTAGGATGATGCTGAAGAAGCAGACATGTTATAACTGGATAAAAGAGCAGCAAGGGATGAGACATAATTTTAGATGCACAATATGTTTCACATCAGTCCATCCCCCTTTGGGGTCCTGGCAGGTAGAATGTCTGACTTGTGGCGGTTAGGTTGACCAGACCCACTTGCCGACCTTGCGGAGAGACCTCAAACGAACCGGTGAGGAGAGTGGCGTGCCCACCTATCGAGATGGAGACGGCCTTTGGAAACGCTACGATGCCATGGAGGCCTCACAAATCTCCAGGACGGTCTGGAAACCCTTGGGAAACCCACCAAATGTCATGGAGTTTCCAGGTGAGAATGGTGAGTCTGAGTCAGTCCCAGGTTTGAGCACATTCGAGAGTCTTGAATCTCATGCATTTGGTTTCACCTTGGTATCACAATGGCATACAGGAATGATCCCTTAAAGACCAGGGGAATTGTCCTCCAAGAGCCAAAAGTTTGGGGCCTCAGCAGACTTGTATGCAACATTTGGCTCAAGGCCTCACAGGTGAAAAAGGCGTGATCTGTCTGCCGTTGGTGTGTTTCACTGTTTGGGTCGCTCGTTGAAACCACTTCTCGGTGGGTGTTTTGATTTGTGGAACCTTGTTAGGCATCGAGGCGGTGGGCGAGGAACAGCTCCGAAGATCGCGCGCGATCTTGAGGGAAGCGCTTTATTTGGCCTGGGGACAATAATCCGCCGCCGTTCATTGTTTATCAAGTGCACTTTTACAGGAGCGAAGGATAGGTCTTGATTGGGACTTGTTCTACGAGCTGGAAGGACTAGCCCACGTCTTGCTCCTTGAGCTCGAGAGAGAGAGAGAGGAGAGAGAGGAGAGATCTCCTGGGCGTTGGCAGACCATAAATGCCATAAACCTCAATTCGGATATTGCAGCTTGTGTGTATCACCACCGCAGAGCAAGGATCCTTCTTGAAGGAGCGGTATGTAAGGGCTTCACTCAGGGTCGGTTTTTGCTCATGTTTGTGGACTATCATCAAGTGCTTGACAGGGTGTGATTGATACAGTTCCAGAGGCAAACGTCAGGGCACATCAGTGCAGTTCATATCGAGGCAGGACTTGCAGCCAGGAGTATCTCACGCATCATGGGCTGTTGTTTTTACCAGACATACAACGAGAATCAACAAATATAACTTAGTCCCCTGTAACCTTGATATTGCATGACGCCAATTGGACCCAATCCCTTGAGGGTTTTAAAATGTTATAGCCAAGTCTTTTAGGGCCCGGGTCAGGTCCATGGCGCGCGCCAGGTGAAAATGTTGGACTGAATGTGCAGGAGCTATGCTCTGGGTGTTCCATGTCGAGCACAGGTTCTCATCACAAACGTCGTAACAGTACTTCGCTCTGCTGAACGATTGTTTGTCAGGCCCTTAGCAGACTAGCTAGCGAAGCCAGTTTCTACGTGCAACTTCGCTGGGAGGAACTCTACTCGCACTTGTTGCTACGCTCTTCATGCTTCTTGGTGGCTCTGTTCGTGGTGCATCAGCAGAAGAATTCTCTGAGCAGGTGAGCAGAAAAGCTGCGTGCGGAGTGGATATCCGTGACCGATATCACCACATATTTTCTGAGGCGGACACATTCCTTTGCTTCACGCATCGTTTTGAAACTTGACTGGCTCTGACCTGGCCTGCCCGCTGGGCAGCGTTTGGAATTTGATCCGGCCTATCTCTTTCTTGGGATTGGTTTGCTATTGGCTCTGCTGTTTTCTTTTGACAGCGGCATTTGTCTGGGGCTGTGAAGTAGTGGATGGAGCAATAGGTTTACTTTAAGAGACGTTTTCCTGCCTTCGTGTGGGCAAGACATCGTCTCATACAAGCTGCCTTGTGTCAAGACCCGACCTCCTATTGAGATCCTTGCTGCTATTGGTACCGGCGGCGCTGGCAGCAGGCGGGGCCGCAAAACATGGGAGCGCGCAATCAGCGGTGAGAGAGCCCAAGCAGGATGCTTGGTTTGAAGCCTCTCGCTTCACCGTTCTCGAATCCTTGCCTTCCTGCGGGAAGGCCTGCCTTTTCAACGCCAACCCGCGGCTGAGACGCAGCCCATCCTTTGCTGCCAGGTTTGTTTGTGGACATTGCCGGCGTTGCCCTCTTCATCCCACGGGCCCTGGTCCTGTTTGTAGCCTGCAGACGCGCTACGGCGGCTTGAGCGAAAGCCTCTTGGGACAGAGTCTGTGGCCAGGTGAGAATTCTGTGTTTCGCTTGAAGTCCGCCGTGTACGGTGTATCCCTACAAAGGTGCTTTAATCGTTTCGCCTGTGCGCGCAGATGAGAATGGGCGGACCGTTCGTTGAGAGGCTCACTAGCAGAGGGCGTTTCTCAGATCCTCATGCAAGTCCTGCGGGCGCAGGTTGCGAGCCATCTGGCCAGAGGATTGATCCAATGGAGCCGCCGACGACAAGCGACTGCGTCGACTTATGGACCACTTAATAAACCTTGCGCAAAGTTTTGATTTGTCTTAGAAGGATGTAGATAGAAAGGATCGAGCTGAATATTGCGCCTAACTAAGCCTGCAACATGATTCCGATGCAGACCATGCTATTGAGAACACAGGGAGCACGTCTAGAGGTGTGACTTTTCTTGCGATTGTGGAACCCAATTCGTTCTTCCCCATCAACTGACCTACTCCACGTCAGACCACCGCGAGCCGATCGACGACTGAGTCAAAATCTTCCCTCAAAAGCTTCCTGCTTAGAGCTTGATGGAAACTGTGCCAGGTAGACCGATGACCCTTTCCTGCCATCAAGATAACGCGGCGGTAATCCAGAAAGCTGAGGCAGGCCTGAATTGAGGCGTGTATCCAAAACATCTCAGTTCATTGTATGAGGTTTCGGAGTCTCCAGATGTGCGACCGGCTCACCAGGAACATGGAACCAGGCCGTTGGCCTCATGCTTTAAAGCTGCTTTGCCAGGTTTGAGCGCGTTCGAGAGTCGTGCGGTTTCCCAACGATTACAGAATGACCCCTTGAAGACCAGGGGGCTCGTCCACAAAGAGCCAAACGTTCGGGACCTCAGCAGACTTGTATGCAACATTGGGCTCAAGGCCACGCACGAAAAACGTGTGATTTGTGCAGCTGCCATTGGTGTGTTTTGACTCTCTGGGTCGCTGGTTGAAACCGCTTTTCAAGTATCATATATATATATATTATATACACATCCTTTTTCCCTATGATGGCCTGTCACTGGAGACATGGACAAACATCCTAGAACTGAGGCACTCTTTGGGGGATGGCTTTCATTGCTTTTGTGATCACTGCTTGGAGGGAGCACCATCTTGATTTAAATTTATCCGCTCTAGACTCTAAGGACTCACCGTTTTTCTTCTTCCGGTGAACAGACGATAGCCTTTTTGTGAAATTGTGTTTGTGGCTGTTTGCAGTACGTTGTGGGCATACTTGCATGCGAATTGTTTTCAAAAAGTAAAAACCAGTTGCCTGTGTTTGGGCTGCGTTACTTGAAGCCCGATATTTGTCACACACACGAAGATTATGACAATGCAGCGAGTCAAAACACCCATGCCGTAGATAGCCCACACGCGTGATCGCAATCGACGGCAAAATCTACAGCCTCGCTTCGGGGTTGTGCTCGCAGACTTGACACAGCACATACATGCAGTGCACCCGAATGTACACTACACATATTATGTCACAACTTTTCAAACTCACTGTGCAACGAGTACAGTACAAGAGAAAGGTAAAGGTCAAGTGTGGAAGGGAATACAATCTTCGCCCTGAACATCCGAAGAATTGTCGGATTTCCAACAGGTGTCCAGCCTCGCCGGCCTCGCCGGAGAGCCTGCGAAGGCGAAAAACGACGTTCATCGGCCAGAGCACCGGGTGAGATCGTTGGCACATTTGTAGGTGATCTGCTGATCGTCTGAGGGTTTTAAGTACGAGGACTGGCAGATTGAGGCGGCCACCCAGAAACATGGCAAAGAAGGAATTGTAGGACAGATTCTTTGATTTGCAGGTGTGGGCCTTCGAGAAAGAGTTCAGCGAGATTCTTCGTGGCAAAGGCCGGTCTCTCAGAAAACAAAACATTTGAAGTAATTGATATATAAGTACTTATTGGACGCGCCCTCTTGGGGGGCGGAAGCAACGTAACTCAGCGGCTCCTCAAATCAATTTTCAGTGTTTGCAGCCATTCAGATCAACACAAGCAGATGACAAGCGACATCCGGCCTCATTTGCATGGAGACGTTTCAAGTTTATTCAGACATGGAACAAGACAAGCTTTCAGATTCACTTGTAAGAACTGTTTGTTCACCGAAAGAGCTTCAGAAAGACCTGTTGTTTTGACAGGCGAGACCATTCAATTCAGAATCGTTCAGAATCCATAGGTTTGATTGTGAATCGTGAAAGAAACATCCAAGACTTTATCCAACGCGTGCCTAACGTCTTGCGAGTTATACGCGCGTGAAACATTTATTTTTTCGATGGCTCTCCATTTGGACCTCTACTTAGCCAGCGGCCGAGCGGTGTCGATCACCGTGAGTCACGAGACGTCTCTGTGCGAGCTGAAGGAGATGGCACAACAACACTTTGGGATGGCCATACGGAATCTGGCAGCTTGACTGACGAGTTGAACACGGAAATGACTGCTGTGGGGGAACGGCAGATTTTCTTAACAGTAGGGTTCTCCCACCCAGGAAGCAACTTTTTGCCTCCTGTGAGGTGTGAGGGGTTGGAGCCATCATCTTGTGTTTGTCATCCCTTCATCGGCTGTCATGAGGGTCCTGTGGCAAGGCCAGGACTATTGATTGTGATTTGGGTCATTAAGGAAGCATGAGAGGCCAATGCCTTTGGAATCAACCTTAGAAATCAGTCATGTGCAGTCTAATTTTAAGCCCAGAATCCAAAGCACTGGCCTAGACAACAAACTTTCATTCTCTTCCAGATCACTGCTTTTCAGCTCTGTCAACCAAGACGAGGTCTCGTCAGACGGACGTTTGCTGGAAGGTGCTCACACACTAGGTGAGGTTGGCTTGGAGGATCGCGATGCAGTGACCGTCATTGCGCAAGCGGTGCCATGGCGAAAGAATCAAAGAGACGTCCTGTACATCCCTGCCTTCTCTGTTCCAACTTCCTGCTATCTCCAAGAGGGGATCAGGGTTAACGCTCCTGGCAGCAGTGAAACAAACAAAACAAACAGAGACTCTGAGGGATTCTCCAGGACTTATCATGACTTAACCACTTCAAGTGTTTAAGCTCCTCGTACCTTTGTGGTTGGAGACCACAGGAGACTTCACGAGACCGGAGACCTCCAAAACCGTCGCCGATGTTCGAGGCGCGCCTGGTGTCCAACCGCGGTTCCTCGGCCTTCGCGATGATCCGGGACGATGGCACGGTGATCACCTGGGGAGCGCCCAGTCGCGGAGGCGACAGCAGCAGCGTGGAGGAGCAGCTGGTGAAGGTGGGGGCCGGCCCGCACAGCGGCCTGGCCGGCGGTGCCGCCAAAAAGACACAAACAATCATCAAACATCAAAAAGGGTTCATGAACGAAAGTGGGATTGCTTTGGGATCCTGTACCAAGATGATGTGGTGGGTGACGAAATGTGTGGAGCGGCGTTGACAAATCAAGGAAGACCCTACTGAGGACTCTGTAGTGTGACAAGTGAAGGGGCGATGCTTCTTGCTTCGTCCCATGTAAATGTAGGACGGGACGTTTCAGCTGGCTTGGATGCTGCAAGCCTTTCTTACCCAATTGTTGGTACGGTTGTTTTTGACATAGTGCCGAAGTGGATTTAAGAAGTTGTAAGGACCAGCAGTTGCATGCACATCCCACTTTAGGAAGGGTGGGGACCCAGCATTTGAATGCACAGTCTTTCAAGATCTTTCAAGCAAGTACAGTGTCTACCATGTTTGAGACTTTAGGAATCTTTAAGATGAGTTATAAGTAGTTATACATTATCAGCAAATCTTATTAAATACGGCAAGTGTCAACCACCCCATGCCGTACCATGACCCGCTTTCTTCGGCAGCTGACCTGCATGTCGCAGCAGGTTCAGCAGGTCAGATCCTCCTGGTGTTCCTTCGCAGCCATCCGAACGGACGGTTCCGTCGTCACCTGGGGCGATCCGAAGTTCGGGGGTGACAGCAGCATGGTCCAAGCAAAGCTGGTCCGAGTGCAGCTGCTTGGCCAAATGTCCAAAGATGGATTTGCTTCACGTTGGTTCAACCTTTGCGCCCAGTCAAGAAAGATATGCACGGAAGTGGCTCGAGTAGTGAATAGTGTTTCTGAGGCTTACTGGTCCGTCTTACTTGGATCGTAGTAGATAAGTTTCCCTAAACATCTAGTGTGCGAGCGCTTCTTCAATGAAGCTCCCCCGCCCTCAGGAAGGGTGAGCTTCCTTGAAGAAGCGTGAACTATCCTGCGTCCAGTAGCTAGGAGCGTACAAGTTTGCCCCTCACTTGATTAAGTAGTAGGGAGGCAGAGCGGGCCTTTAAAAGAACGATTCAACAACATGTGATCGTGGAACTTGCTAAACTTGACGGATGAGACGCTCTCGGTCGACAAGTGGAATGAGTCAAAGTTCACCAGAAGCACGCGCACACGCATACACACAAAAACATTAGGTTGTTTAGCTGAAGGTATCCCGATGTGATCGGTACAAACACCTAGCAGATTGGACCTTGAAACAACGAGCAAGGCAGATTGAAGCTTCGAGAAGAGCCTTTGCTGCGTTGCTTGCAGATGGATCAGTTGTAACGTGGGGAGATCCCGACACTGGCGGCGATAGTAGCGATGTTCAAGAACAGTTAAAGGACATGGGGCCGAGGGTCAGCGTTGCTACAAATCTGCATATGTGCATATGACTCACTCTTCCTAGTATTCCAATCTAGCTGGCTCCATTGAATGTCCCTGCAAGGATGTTCAACAAATCGAAGCCTCGTACGGTGCCTTTGCGGCCATACTTGCAGATGGTAGTGTGGTAACTTGGGGTGACATTGATACTGGAGGTGACTGCAGCAAAGTGAAGCCGAAATTGAAAGGCGTCCGTCAAATCCGAGCCTCTCATGGTTCCTTTGCAGCAATCTTGCCTGAGGGGCGAGTGCTGTGCTGGGGAAATCCGGATATTGATAGCGAAAGCTGCCAAGTGCCAGAAGGTTTGCGCGATGTTCAACAAATACAAGCTTCAGGACATGCATTTGCTGCCATTCTTGCCGATGGGAGTGTAACTACGTGGGGAGATCCTGATTTCGGCGGTGATAGCAGCATCGTGAAGGACCAGTTGAGCGATGTTCAGCAGATCATATCTTCCAGGAGGAGAAGGGCTTAAAACTTCAAACCTGCAAAGAAAGGGCATGACTTAAAACCCTGAAGGTGATCTAGAACTTCAATACCATAATACCTATGGGTTTTATCTTTCAGTATTTGGCCACGTGCTTCTTGCTTTGATTCTTGAAGGTTGGCATAGCAGACTGTGCATGCTCAGCTTTCTTACCGCCTTTTCCCTGGACAGAATGCAATACTTAAGTTAGTTAAGCTGCTTTTCATAGCATAGGCAGTCTACGAAAATCAATTGATATCAGAGATGCGATACTCTACCAGTTCCCAAGCATCACCACACCATCTACGCACGGTCGAATGGTTGAACAATCCAGCATCCACATCCCAGTATGGCCCAGCCATCCGCTGACCCTGCATTGAACTGCTATCCGCATTACAAGCGCAACATCGCACAAACCTTAGAACTATTTGGGTCACAAGTGGCCACAATAGCTGGAACGACTCCAAATTAGATCCCTACAGGAGAAGGACTCTTGTTTTGTGTGAATCGGAGGTGGGATCCCATTGGGATCCCAACATCTAGAATAGAATAGAATGTCTTTGGACTCTCCATCGCCTGAGGGCCTCCCCTCCCCTTGACCGACCTGAGGGCCTTTGCTGCTTTGCGGCGTGATGGAACTGTCGTTACGTGGGGGGATTTGCTGAATGTGATTCCAGAAAATCTCACCAGTCACTTGGTAAACGTCTTGGAGATTTCTGCGACGAGTGGAGCGTTTGCAGCCCGCTTAGCGGATGGAAGCGTGGTGACACTTGGACGAAGAGCAATGCATGGGAGTTTCAAGTAATTGTTTGGCCTATTTGTCGGGTTGTCTTCTGGGATCTTCAACTTCAGTTCACATCAAACCAGAGAGCTGCTTTTCTCGGGCATGGAAGCCCCACCTCTTGGCACCTATGGTAAACACCAGCCTTTAAGCTTGCTTGTTGCCACCGAACCAGCGAACGGCACGCCACGCCAATCTCAAGCAGTTTGCGCAGTAAAATGCCAATCTACACTTGGAAGACGCAATGTAAATCACTTTGCTGAGGACATGGGGACATAGCTACGTTGGTGGAGACAGTCAGGCTGGATCGTCCATCTCCTCGGTGCCATCCAAGTGAATGAGCCTCTAAGGGACTGTGTGATGTTTTGTCGGTCTGGGTGAGCCCAAATAGATCCAAATAGGCTGAGCAAAGTCATGTTCTGAATAGAAAGGAATTTCCCCAGTCTCTACGGCCACCAAGCGGCCGAAACCAACAGGAGGTGTCACATCAGCTTCGGAACGTGCAGCAGCTCAGTGCTTCCAATGGCGCTTTTGCAGCCTTGCTGGAAGATGGTCAAGTCATCACATGGGGCAGTCCCTACTCAGGCGGTGAATCGGCGGGTCTGCAAGAACGTCTTGGTGCTTGGGATGTGCAGACCGATGCCAGGAGGGGTGGGGAAGCGGAGCTCTGAGCTGGAGACCAGAAAAAGCAGGTGAGTGAAGGTGAGGAAAGTCCGGAAAAAACGATGAGACCGCACAGGCAATGATGGATATTAGGAACTCAGAATCGGAGATGTTTTCACGAAAGCTAGCGAAGCTAGCTGGAGTTACTCTTGCGATAGCAAGGTTTCTTTCGATCGGGTGCAAATCCTAACCCCTGATTTTTCAGGTCGAAGCCCCCCCCCCCGCCCCACCTCCCCTCTCCTCCTCCCACCTTCCTTCTTCCCACCTTCCCTCCCTCCTCCCTCTTCGCAAGTTCGACTCCGTCCTGTCGTCGCTCTTTGGCATGTGGTTAGCGTTGCGTATCTTGCGACCGCACTCGCTCACTCTCACTCTCACTCTCACTCTCACTCTCACTGTCTCTCTCTCTCTCTCATCCTCACTGTCTCTCTCATCTCTCTCATCTCTCTCTCATCTCTCTCATCTCTCTCTCAACTCTCTCTCATCTCTCTCTCTCATCTCTCTCATATCTCTCTCATCTCTCCCTCATCTCTTTCTCATCTCTCTCATATCTCTCTCATCTCTCTCTCCTCTCTCTCTTTCCTCTCTCTCTCTCTCTCTCCTCTCTGTCTCTCGTCTTTCCGTCTCTCTTCTCTCTCTTCTCTCGCAGGAGGATCCGGGCAAAGAACCACATATAAAGGACTCTTCACCCCTGCCTCCAAAAAGAGCGCCGTGTTTTTTCCTACCTCGCTGGCCTCCACTTTCCCATTCTGGAGCGCTAGCTTTCGCCCCCCCTTGGCCTCAAGTGATTTTAACCTCGTTTGAATCTCAAGAAATGGACTTACCTGACAATAGGAACTCCTTGTGGTCAAGCCCCTGCCAGGAAGCGAAGACGGACAAGACTAGATGGGAGCTGCTTAGCGCTGCTGGTGGAGCAATAGACTTTCCGCCCTTTGAATCGAAGCGCGCTATGCATTGTTGCTCGTCGCTGCATCGAAGAAAAAGGAGTGCACGGTTCGAGAGACGTTCAAATGGGAAAACAACTATTAGGAGGAGGAGCATTGCATCGGATGGCATAGGTATTGGACACCCCCTTTTCGTTCTCCATAAAGATTCTTCAGGATTGGACGCCTCTTTTGCTTGAACAGTCCATTGATCCGCATTGCTGTTGCATAGCCAACACTCGACTGGAATCTCGTATGTTGACTCATGACCTCTACCAAGGGCCAAATCCTGGGCACTTGGCTTTGGCGAAGTTGGAAGAAGAAGGTTGCATAGTGACCCGGCACGAGATGCACAAAGGCCTCCCTGTAAAAGTCCTGCACATCATATTTTGTAGGGCATGGTCACTAGATGTCACTAGTGAGCAGAATTTGCTTGTATGCATAAGCAAAAATCTGAGGACGGTAAGGACTGCGTAAGGAAACTGATTTTCGGACACGACACCACCCTTTCGTGCGCACGCACGTTTTTGACACCACTCGTTTAAGTTGATCCTAAGCAAGCTGATTTGCGGGCCCTCATGTCCAGCTTTTGTTGCAGATGTACTCTTCACCGTTCCTGGTTCCTGGATGTTCCTGGTTCCTACGCCATGAACACCCATTTTCGAGGACATGGTGGTCACCCAGAATGTGGACGGCTTCCACCAAGCTGCGGGCAGTCGAAAAGTGGTGGAGCTTCATGGCAGTGAGGTCCACGCCATTTGTTTGAACAGGCCACTCACGAAGGGCGCCTGTAACGCACCGGAACTCCGCGGAACTCGGGGCGACGAAGTGGATGGCCCCGACAAAGGGACTCCTAGTAGCTTTATTGTTCCTAGTAGTAAGGCCAGGAGCCCCTAGTAGCGTCCTTTTGTTCGGTCTCAAAGTCTGACGAAGCTGAGGGTGTTTCACTCTCCTTGGGACACACCAAGTTCCCTCGTCCATCGGCCGTCGTCTTCTTCGCCCGCTTCACCTGTGAGCCACGAAGAGTCTCCGGTGTTTGGCTCTTGTGGGAACGGTGGAGGGCACGCCTCTCTTCAGCTCCAACCAATGTTGATTGATGCACCTTGGATCTTTGTGTTGGTGCTTCGTGGATTCATTCACTGTGTCTCCACCCCTCGGATGCTTTTCCATGCTTTTCCTGCACAATCCAACCCTTCCTTGACGCAACACCTATCAAAGCGACATATTTTATACCCGGCCTCCTACACTAAGCGCAGCAGATACCTGGTTGTTGTCTTTGTCAGGCTGAATCTCAAATCCCCAGAGACACGGGAGACATTCATCGGCAGTTTCGCCCTTGTGCCCAATTCACTTCCCTCTCACTCTGGAGGGCCTGTGGCAAGCGCCTGGAAATGGCGCAACTCTTTGACGGCTCCAAGGCGAGGGAGACGGGAGAAACCTCACAACACAATGGAGCAACCTCACTTTCTGGAGAAGTCTTCATTGACACCATATGACACCATAATATACTTTGTTTCCGTAGTAAAGAGACAGGTAAATGGAAGAGTGCTAAGTTAAACATGTTGCATTCATTTTTTTCCAAGCCGCAACCAAAGCGACCAAAGCGCTACATGAGATGGCTGATGCTTCATGCAGGCGTTCAACTGAAACGGATGGCCCTAAGCATTGTGTCTTGCGCTTGAATCGGTGCAATGCGGTGAAACCAACTCTTCAATCACAATTTGAAGCACGATACTGGTCGTACGTTTCAGAACATGTGTCCAATGTCATGTACATCAGACTGATGACATCTGCACATCAGCTGTCGACCCAGCTGATGCCAGGCCTTCTGGTCACCTGAAGCCAGAGGTTGGGGTCTTCGATGGCCGGAGGCTGGCTTTGCGCGCAAAGCGCCCTTTGCGCTATTTTGGGGCAGCCAATTGGAATGGAGGAAGGGATCTGGAACGAACAGGGTATTTTTCGTGATGGAAGCTAGAAGAGATTTATGTCTTTTGGCCTTTATACTTTATACATCTTGTTACACAGTCGATCTGTGGATGTTTGGAGTTTTTTCTCTTGCGCAGTGGGCATTATGCCAATGATCTCTTGCGACATTCTGCATGATCGCTGTCAGCTAAATTCGACAAGCTTGTCGTCCAAACAACCGGGGAACGTGCACGTACTAAAAACAAGCAACATCAGCCGATGCTTTACATTATAACAAGGGCCTCGCTACTAGTGACAAGGGCATCGGCATCACTACTGTACTAGTAACAAGGGCATGGCTACTAGTAACAGGGGCACCGCTACTAGTGACAAGGGCATCGCTACTAGTAGCCAGAAGCTACTAGTTTTTCCTTTTCAATTTGTATGTTCGAAAGTCTGAGTCCACAGGGCGACTCCGACACGGACCTTCAGTGGCTTGAAAGACGGTCGGGCCGGGGCCGGAGGCGTAATTTTCCCACACTCTGAGTGGGATGAGATGGAAGTATTCCTGGTTTTGGGGGGGTCCGATTCACCATTCCCCGATCCCCAGACATGACGCCAAATATCATACTTTGATGTACAGTACTTTGGCACGTTTATGTTTTTGTGGTTCCAGGAACCTAGGAATGTGGATTCCTTAAGGCTAGGAACATCACCAACCAACAGCAGAGTTGCTTTTCCCATGTGCCACGCAAGTGGGATTTTGAAAAGGCTTGAAGTGATGCACGAAACGGCAGTTGTGGTGATATGTACTAGACCTATCTAGACCTGACATTCGTTGTCACTCAGACGTTCGATTGCCTATGTCCAAACATACAGATTCCGCAGATTCTAGCTTCTCTACGTGGTCCTTCAATGTCCTTCATATCTTTCGTCCATATGCAACAACACCTTGAACAAGGACATTTGACCTTCCGTTGAAGGCTCATGACTCATGGAGAACAAAAAGCCATATAACTTACCATTCTGAGGAAAGCCGTCCGAAGCCAACTCGAAGAATTGATTCAGGCCCAGACAACTGGCATGTGACTCGTGGTAGTCGGTGGTGGTAGTCGGAAGCAGCACAGATCGGACCAGATGTCCGTTGATTTGAAAAAAGGTCAGAATCCCATTGTTTCAAGACAGTCCTTTTTTCAGACGTAAACGCACCAAATATGAATCGAGACCAGACAAGAAAGCAGGCTCAGTGAATACCTTTGGTAACGCGTCTTCCCACCCTCGTTGCAGTTGCACCTGCTGCTTTGTTGCAGGGAAAGAAGGATGGCAAGTCCCAAGACTCGTCAAGCTCCAGTGAATCAACGAGTCGTGACCTCAGTCAAGTAACCTGCATGGCCTGCAGAGGATTCACCTGGCTTTTTGGAAGAAGTGATGTAATTATCAGGTCATATTGGTTTCGTCGTTTCGAGCCTCACAAGCCCTCTTCAGTCCGTTTGTGTCTTTGTTCAGTTGCAGGCAGTTCGAGCAGCAGTGTGAGCTCTGGCACACGACAGAAGCGCAGGCCTGGATGAGATGAGTCTCATGTAAAAGATGGGAATGAACAGTGTGTGGTCATGGGGTGTGCAGAACCCTGAGAACCTACAGGGGGCCACACAGCACTGATATCGCTAGGTGCAACATGGTGCAACATCAATGCACATCTTGATCGTGTCAAACGTTGGAGACGGACAGGGGACCACCTAGTCTTGCCGCTGCCATAGCAACTATATACGATATATAGATACAATATGTTGTCTGCTGCTCAGATGTTGGGATTGCCTTTACTTTGTCGTGCATGATTGGTGCTGTTGTGCTGCCGGACCTCCATTGCACTGCATACCTTTTAGCAACATTTTCTTGTGAGAATGTAATTACTTTAACTTTACCCGTCGAGTTCCTGGCAGGAATGCCGCCAAGACCCCAAAGCCTTTGACCGAGCAGGCCAGTTGCATCACTTGGTTTCATGATTCTTTCGTAGCAAAAGACTATATAGTTTGTTCAACATAAGTAAGAGAACCCATGTTGTACATCAAGGTACGGCTAATCATGTCAATATGTTACAATGTATTGGAGGAAGGGAGCTCAGCTCAGGCTCAGGCCTACTGAAAGCAATCTCTAGTAAAAATAAACTTATGGACAATGTTCTAGTGTTTGTTTGTACCTTGACTAGCTCTTCTAGATGTGACCCTGATGTCGCAAGTTAATACAAATGCTGCAAGGAGCTCAAATGCGGAAGCAATATAAACCTGGGAAGATACTCGACATATCAGCAGAATCTAGCCCAGCGAGTCCACAGTAGTAAACTACTCAGCCAAAGGGAATTCAGGTCCATTTGTTCAGGTTTGGTTCAAAAGCCCCAATTTCTGAAGCCAGGGCCAGGAATTCAACTAACATATTGAAACTCTACAAAATGATTATAGTTTAAGATATAGATATAGAGCTCTATCCTCTCCAGTCTCGAGATAGATGCACACGTTGTCTTTCAAAAGAAATGGATCTGAGAGTCTTTGGAGTCTTCACTTGAGGAGAAGGCTGATGGGCCTCCTGTGGGGCGTGTGCCCATTTGCCCAAGTTGCCAAACGGGCCTTTTGAAACCCGATGGAGCGGCTTGGCAAAGCAGTTCGGAATGTAAATGGAAGGCAGGCCCGATGTTGTGCAAGAGATTTCTTGTGCTTGGACAAATAGACACTGTTTCGTTTGTGTCTGGAAGGGCATCTCCAAGATCCTCTTTCCCTTGTAATTCCTTTTAGAGTGTATTGCATTCAATTGGGCCATTTCCGTTTGGCGCGTTACGCTTCGGAAGTGTCACGTGGCCCTGCAAATGTCGCAGCACGTGAGAGAGATCATGTTCTGTAGTAACAAGAGGACGCTACTAGGGGCTCCTGGCCATACTACTAGGAGCGAGAACGCTACTAGGGGCTCTTGGCATCGCTACTAGGAGCAAGGACTTTGCAGGTTGTTGCCAGTTGCAAACCATGTGCTGCACTGTGCTGAGGTTTATTTCGGTGAGGCTGCGCGGGGTGTTCAAATTTTCGTTCAACGATCCCAGTGTTTTGCCGAATCATCCCCAAATGCTGCCGACCCAGAGGCATACAACCTAATTGAGAATCATTTTATGTCATCTTGCTGATGCCATCTCAGCTGATCCAGCTCGGTTGTGTTTTCACATGCCCAGTCGTTGGACAAGCGTGTCTTGAAGCGGGCGCTCCTGCAGAGCATCAATTCCAAAGTGGCTCCTCATTTGCATCTCACGACATCTCACAGCACATCTCACGATCGGATCAGACCAACATCGCCCGAAGCGTTTCGGTTTTCCAACGAAGCGTTGGGATGGGACAACTTGAAATTGATCAAGTGTTCTTATCCTTTTGCACTGCTCTGCACTATGAGAACCCTTACTGAGGTGATGATGGTGGGAACCCGCGGTGAGGTTGACCCTGCGGCCAAGTTGCCCGTCATCGCAAAGCGCTAGGGCCTTGGAGGAGAGCACAGACAAGCAAAGTTGAGCGAACGGAGAGAAACGGAGCGTAGCACAGAGGACTCAGAGGACCAATGAAAAACTCTGGGTGGAAAACTTTGGGCAGATGTGAATGCTCCTGTGAAAGACCCATCAAGTATAGGGACGAATTTGCCCTTTTCAATCAACCGATTGACCAATGAATAGCAGCTTCGGTTTTTTGAGACACTCTGAGACCAACACCTCTCAGGTGAGCAAGATGCCAAGATCATCGAGGTCCTGGGAAATGATATGGGCAGAGCATGCGGAAGACATAGGGATGGTAGAGGAGGCGGAGGTGTATGTTGGTGCATGCCGGTGCATATAGAACACCCATCGCTTCTTTGCTCAGCTCTGTGGCGGTTCGACAGTTCGACACGAAGACGGAACTATTGAAGTATAAGTATGGCCAGTAAGAATCAAGGCGAGCAACAAGAAAGAGCAAACAGAATCAGAAAGGAAAGCAACACAGGTAGCTTATACACAGTCTTATACACTTATACCTTCATCATGACCCCAATTCCTAAATCTTGTTGGCAATGAAGTGGGTGCCACTCGGGACGAAGCAATTGTGTGCACATCCACATCACGTCCATAGCCGTAGGAGAAGATGAGGTTTGTTCCTAGTGAAGACGTAGTTCCTCCGCTCTTCCCAAGTTGCTGCGAGGTGAACATTGGCTCGACCAGACTGTCCAAGCATGCAGACATCGTGCTGAGGGTTCGAGGGAGTGACAAGGGGCATCAAAGGGCTACTTACTGGTTGAACAATTTCTCAAAATCCATAGAGCACTTCTACCTGTTCGGGGGTGATGTGATGTTCTGGTTTCTTTGGAATACCACTGCACCTTATCAAACGTCAGCTGCAGCGTGCGATTCTTTGCTGATTGTGGCATATCATATTGTTGCAATCTGTCGAAGTGTTCCACCGGTCACAGCTGAAGCACGTCAACTATTGTCAGGGTGCTGCTGGAGAAGTCTTACCTAAGCTGATGAAGCTTCTTGGAAGCAGCTAAGACCATTGAGCCATCTTGAGCCGCCAGTGTCATGTGCCTCAAAGCCCCATCACGAGCAGGCTCATTTGACATGTTGAGAATTGCTAATTGCCAGCTGTGGGATGAGCACGGATTTTTGCTGTGAGACTTTCACCTCGGTTTCTGGCGTATTATACATATATATATATATGTTGTGATTGACACAAAGGTAGCAACAAAAGATCCTCCTTCCCTCGCACAGCCGCGTGCGTTTTCCACTCACAGCTCACCTGAAGGTTGGTACGAACGGTCGGGCGCCTCGCCCTGCAGTGTCCTCACTGCTTCTATGGCTCAGGTCACGGGTGACCCACCCTACACCACCCTTGCGGCCTCGCACACTCGTGGCTTCGGACGTGAACACACCTGAGTGGGTCAAGACTGGTTCCTCAGTGACCGAAAGGTTCGAAATTCACGTCATCAAAAATTCTATCAATCTTTTTCTTTGGTTGTGTGTCGATCATCCTTCTTGCTGCTGGTCTCCCATTAGAGGGATCCCGGACTCAAGCCACCTAAGGCGTGTTCTGCTGTCAGCTCGCTCTTTCAGCACTTGCAGTTCGTCATTTAGTTGATACATGCCTTGTTGCAAAGTGTATCGGAGGAGAGTTCCTTGCATCACCTTAGTTAGCGCATCAGCGAGCTGAGCTCCTGTATGGACCCATCTTAATTGAATGCCTTCGGATAGCAAATCTTCTATTGCCTTTGCTTGAAGTTGTGTACGGAATTCCTGGCAATTTGGTTGAGCAGTTCGGGTAACCAAATCATACAAAGATTTGCAATCTGTGACAGCTACTGATCGTGGCAAACACTGGGCTAAGGCTGTGGTAGATTGGATTGGTTTGGGTTCACTCTTAAAAACCTCATGTGGTCGTTTCCAATTGACTTGGGGATTTTGGATCCATGCCCAATAGAGTCTCATCCAAGATAGCTGGTCTAAGCTTGTTTGGAGCGAAGTTGTTTCGGCTGACAAAGTACTCGTAACTACTTTCTGGATCTTGCGGCAACCCCAGGACAACGGGCTGACTGGGCATTGATAGTTCTCACTTATATCCCTATGGGTGGCCAAGATGATCATGCCTGTGTGACTTTCTGGGCTCTTGGCCGACGCAAATGATGCGTCCGAGAATAACAAGAATCTGAGATGCTTGATTGGGATGGGTTGGATTCTGATGCATGTGTCTTTGTATCGTTCTGCTTCATGAAGTACACGGTTGGCATCGTGCAACGTTTGGACCGTGGCTTTGTTGATCTCACTTTGGATGTAGCTTAGTCGACTTGAAAGATCCGGTCTCGTGTTGATGCTCGCGTACTGAAGACTTCCCACAAGTGCACGGAGCGAGTGTCTCTCTTCGGAGGTCACTTCATCCGTCAGACATGTTCGTCTGCTTGCATTCATGTGGATTGGCTCAAACTTGCTTACATACTTGGATTGGGACATGATGATACTTTTGTCTGCCTGTTGGTTCATCTCAACACCAGTGAACGTGAATTGACCTACTTTCTTTGATCCAAATGGGAATTTGGCTTCTAGCTTTGAGATTTGTTCTTCAAAGTATTGATCTCCTCCACCTAGTCCATCGTCAACATGAACTCCTAGGACCCCCGAAATTTTGCTTTGTCCTGGTTTGTATAGTACGTATGCGCATGGGTCGAAGGGTGCTGGAATGAAGTTCAAATCACGAAGGGTCCGATCCAATTCCTTATGCCACAAATAAGGAGCATCGATCAAACCGTAGGCTGTTTTTTCGATTTTGCAGATTTGATTGGGTTGAAGTTTCAATGCCTTTCGAAGTTCTTCAACAGGTTCCAGGCCTAGAACTCGATCTTCCTGCGTTTTGCCTTGCAAAAATGCAGCTTTGATATCGAAGCTTTTCAGAGTCCATCCCATGGATGATATTGCTTGCAACAAGAGCATTTTGGATTGCTTTCCAAGTGTCGGCGAGTCCCGGGGTATGCTGTCTAACTGGGGATCTTGATATCCAAGGACTACTAGACGTGCTTTCGGTTTATGGGTCTTTGGTCCTGGTCTGACGTTCTCAGTTGATCCGGTTTGAAGGTCGTCAGCATCACGGGGTTTCCATACGCATATCCAGCGGCAACGCATTACCTGTTCCGGACACAGCTGATCCCGAAAGATTTTACTCACCGTCCCTGTGTTTAACCAATTTGTGATCTCCTTTTCCTTTGCTTGACGGAAGAGAGCTTGTTCTTCGGTGGACAATTGGTGCATCTTTACTTCTGTTCGGTCACGCTTGGTGGTGGTAGTCATCATGATAAGATCTGTTGCTGGTGAGTTTTCATCCCATTTCATCATTGTTTCTTTGGGAAACAGGAATTCAGCTTTCCATCCTACGGCTTCTGAGTCTATTTGGGTTTGGCACCAGTTGACCTGATCTTCTACACTTAGTAGGGAGTCACATACGAGTTCATCACTGAGATCGGATGCTTCGCTTGGGACCGGCACACTTGCTGCATCCTGATGACCGCCGGGGTCACTCGGCAATTCGATGCTTTGTCGGCTCGCTGGAGACACTTGACTCTCTGGAATCGAGGGCTCTTGATCTGGCTGGATCTCTGACGAATTCGATGTGTTTCCTGTTCCTACGCGTTGTGGGATTATATTGCTATCTTCTTGGCTCTCTGGTGGAGTTGCGGGCGCTTGTTCACGAATGTTGGCATTTTGTGTATCTTCGCCTTCAATACCTGCGATCGGACTTAGAGCTCGGGGGATACGCTGGGCTTCCATGGCACTTACGGGTCGAACATGTTCAGGGGCTATCTTTACCAAGCTTCCTGCGTGATTACACCAAAGACAATGGGGACCTTCTTGTTGGATGACTCTGGCTGGACCAAACCACCCCCGTTCAAGTTCCCCTGTCATAGGATCCTCGGTGAGGACAGCTTCGCTGGAGAACAGCTCTTCGCAACGCAGAGCTGTTGTCTGCACAGTGAAAAGCTCGTCGTGCAGCTTCGCGGTATGCCAGCTTTTCTCGAAATCTGATTCCTTCCTGGGTGTCATCGTCTGCCAGGAGGTGCGATGGCAATTGCTCGTCCGATGAGATTGATGCTGGAATTCTGGACCCTTTTCCAAAAACAAGAGTTTCTGGGGAGTATCCCTCTTTTTCTGGCTCAGTGCATTCTTGGCAGAAGTGCAGTGCGATAGTGCTGTCTGCAGGTTGGTGTATGACGTTACTGGATGTTCCTGTTCATACTTCTTGAGCATTTCCTGTAGGATTCCACCATGTCTTTCTACTTTTCCGATTTGCCAGTGGGCACCTGGTGGGGTAACTATTGCTTTGATGTTGAACTGGCCTAGAAAAGTGACAAATTCCTTGGATGTGAATTCCGTCCCTGAGTCTGTGTGAATCTCAATCGGAGCCCGTGCCCATTGGAGCCATCCATTGAGCACCTTGTCTATTGCATCATCACTGCTTTTACCTGGGCTTGCACATGCTACCTGGTAGTTTGTTCCATAGTCGATGATGTGATAGAAGTGGAAGTTGGTTCCTGCCAGATTCGTGTATACAACACCATCTATCCCAATACAGTCGTTGAAGTCTAGCTCACGTTTGATTGTAGAAGGTCTTTGATGTTTGGGTTCCTTAGTATTCTGACATACGGAACAACTTAGGTCCATGGCAGCTTGACGCAATCGGGGTGAGTACCCCTGTTGACGCAGCATTGAACACAGCTTTTGACCATGAGGGTGTCCTAGGTTCTGATGCAATTTCAGCAAGAACGATTTTTCTTCGGCTGATATGGTCTTGAACTTTGGGCCATGGTCAAAGCTCGGCATATGGAGTTGACTCGAACTCGCTCCTGTCTCTTTGGTCTGATCCGGACCCAGCTCTGTGACAGGTGCTTGATCACTACTTGGCAGGCTGACGGTTGCCTCCTGCGGCTCGACGCTTGTTCCCGTTGCCTCGGGACTCATATTCTGCTCGGTCGAATCACCTGATGCTTCTGACTTGGATTGGGGCAAACATGCATACATTGTGATATTGACTCTTGCGGGATGTGCTGGGCGGACTTGCTGCCGATGAGACAGGTCTTGCCAGTATTCCCAGTCCTTTTCTACTTGGATTACCCCCCCTATTCGGCTTACGATGATGGCACGACGATATGGGGCCTCATTCTTTACCAAATCCCTTGGCGGTGGCAATGTTCGATCTGATCCCTTACATGCTTGAACTTTCTTGATTTCTTTTTCGGGGACCATGTTTTGAAGCCTCTCCAAGATTTGGTGGTTTGTGATAAAAGTCTTCCCTACTCTTGGCAACATTGGTTGGATGTCCTTGATGATTTCTTCTAGTTGTCTCTGAGGTGACATGTTCATACTCTGCGATTCGGCCGTCTTGCCGTCAATGCGGCGGCGCTTGCACTCGTTCGACAATTGCTCCAGGGGTGTTGGTGGCAGTCGCCCACCTTGGGACTTCTGCATGGGAGAACTCACACGGATCCGCTTGGATGCACTCTCCTCACTCCTTTGATCTATTCCTCTGGTTACAAGGGCAGTAACCCATGGCTCATGTTTCACTTTCAACATCACCTTAGCTACTTGTCTTGCAAACTTTCTTGGATAGTTCTCTGTATAGCTACTGACGGTGATTCTCCCGAGAGGCGTTGTCACGGATCCGGCAATGGGTCTGTGCTCATGATCTCGACGACGCACCCGGCCATGCAACGAGGCATACATCTCTTGCGATGTCGTTCTTACAGCCATCTCCTTTTGTATGAGTTTGTTCGTTTCTGGACATGTCAACTGGCCTACGCGACACATGTCGAAATTGGCTTCCTGAGTATATGAATACAGCTCTTGCAGGAGTGGGGTCTTGAACATGATGGATTTTCGTGGCTGCTCCCAGTGCATGTGGTTTCCTAGCTGACGTTACATGCGAAGCAAGACTACTCCTAGTGCAAGTTCGAACAAGTGTGACTCTCTCTCTCGTTGAACATGTTCACACAATTGGATTGATCTCATTTCATTGAACGTGTTCCATGCGCTCCATGGTCCACAGGTGGGACTGAACCATATGTGACGGGGTCTTTGTTTCCACACCATTTGAAACAGAACACTTCTCCCCTCCTTGGTTTTGAGGTCCCCCTGCGCCCTTCCAAAACGGTTGGCTCTGTCGCCCAGCAATTGGACTTGCTTCGTCAGTTCACTGGCCTCATGACAAAACACTTCCAGCAAATGTAGACGGCTGCATCCGTTCGAGATCACTGGATCACCCCTTGCTAGACTGGCTTCCTTTGAGATTTGCTGAACCAGTGCATGGAATTTATGGGACAGACTGTGAGTCTTACCTGGACTGACATCTTTTTGGCACATGGACGATACATGTATATCAGCTTCCTCGAAGGAGTCTAGCCATGACGAGCTCATGAAGCCCGGAGGTGGGCAATGATCTCCTGCATCGCACCTTCGATGGTCTGAAGGCGGGTGTCCATGGCTGCCATCTCCGTGTAGATCTCTGGCTGGATCTCGATCTCCTGAACTGGTTCCCAGGATTCGTCCTCGGCAAGATCTGTCAAGTCCTGCGGGGTCACTTCCTGAATCGGCTTGGCCTTGGCCTTGCTCTTGAGAGCCGGATGCAGTGGCCTCTGACTTGGTGAAGGCTGCAGGTCTTGACTGTTCAGACCCAGTTGGTGCTCGGCATAGGTCACCCTCAGTGAGATGTAGTGGATGAACTTCTGATGGTTGACCTTGTTCGACGAGTGGTAACTTGCCTGGAACCACTTCACATACTTGCCCTCCTTTTCCCACATCTCCGAGTAGGTCCGACCGAGATGGGCTGATCCGAAATCGATCTTGGCATGGCCCATTTCGTCCAGTGATAGGAGCTTGAAGGCTTCGAGCTGATCGAGGGCTTCTTCCTTCTTTGCTTCCCCCATGACACGTGCCAAGCGGGCACTCAGAGCGGCTGCTTCGGAGGTCGGCATGATAGTGACGCGGCACAGGTGAACGAATGGGATGGTCACACGTGTGTGATTGCACAGATCCGGTCTTGAACCCAAAACGGATGACACCGGGCTGGACCCCCCCTGGAACTGATTCGAATGAGACTTTCTCACCCCCGCGAACACTCGGACGTTCGTTTGGTTTCTTTGCGTTCGTATGGGTCTTTGTTGATTCGGGTATGGCGGCTTCGAACTGTTGGATTCTGCTTGTTACAAGACCTGTCCTCACCTGAACGTTCTGTTTCATCATGGTCTTGGTTTCCGACTGCACTTGTCCAGGCTTCTGGACAGAGACACTTGGCAAGCTTTTGCAATTCAAAGTGGCGAAGGTCTCGGCAGGTTCAGCTTCGGCATCTTGACTGGTGGGTGTGATCAGATCATTTAGATCAACTAAAAACAAACCCTTGGCATTCAGCTGAATTGGAATATTGCGCTTCAAGAGAGTGCTTTTGATTACTTCACCAGCTATATCTACGGTGGCTCCGATGGCTCGGAGCAGAGTATTCGACAGCAGGAAAGGTGTATGGCCTGGCACTATGGCAATCTTGAGCTTCAGCGGTCCGATTGGGACAACGAGCGCGCGCTTGCTTTCAAGTGTCCCTTGATTCCCAAACCGAAAAACCACTGAACAACGACACCTTTGGACCTGCTTCCGAACCTCTGGCCTCAGTGCGGCTAGGAGATTGGCTACGAAACCGCTTCCTATGAGGGTCTTAGTAGCACCTGTATCTACGATTCCCAGGGCATCGCGAGTTGAAAAGCTCGAGAGTGCACTGGCTTCGGTGTCACGCATCGACTTGGCTTCAGGTGATTGGGCGGTGCTAGCAAACGCACTCTCTGGCAAGCTAGTCCTGACATCAAAATTCTCACACTCGGTGATCATTTCCCCTTTGTAGGCTAAATCAATGATTTCCCCTTCATTGGTCTCCCACAAACCCCTCAGAACACCGGTGTCCCTTGATTCACAAACACACAAAACTTGTTTCGTATTCTCTTGTGTGGCGTTGAGCGTCTCTTTGGTCAGCTCTGGCAAATCCGTGAACTCCAGTGGCAGCGCGTCCTGCTCATCATTCACTGTCACCAGTGTAGGAGCAACAGCTGTCGATGGGACCGACTGAGATCCACGTTGCGGGCATTCAGCCTTCCAATGGGTTTTCGGCCACAAATCCTGCAGCTGCTCTCCATGATCCTCTGCTGGAGGCTCTTTCTATTGCCAGAAAACTTTGAGGAGTAGGGGGATCGCTTTCCTTTTTCACCCCCTTTCCCTTTTCCTTTGCCTTTGTTCTGACTTGTTGGCCAGAACCCACGGCTTTTGAAGCGCTCTGACAGGCGGCGACGGGCATCCATGTATGATGATTGTGTCAATGCTAGATCTTCGTTGTCTTGCACTGCATCCAACATTAGGATTCATACTCCATGATCATGGCGGCGTCCTCGTCACCATCATTTGCAAGACTCTCAATCCATTCTTCCTCGGTCCAATCATCGAGATTGTAGGTGGGCTCGTCGGGTGCTTGGTCGTGACCATCAGCTTCTTGGGCAATGAACGCATTGGCCTCATAGGTTTTGGTCCTTGGATTGTTCTGCTTTCCGCTGGAGTGGAATTTATGGAAGAATCGACTCCCCAGGAGCTTCAGATTGGATACCACCTCTCTGTACTCCAGTGAACCCTGCGATTCAACAATCAGTCTCTTCTTGTCTTCTGAGCTCAGGGCTGAGTTGCGAAGCAAGATGTATGCACGAAACTCATCCATGCCGACCTTCATGCTCAGCAACTCTTCGAATTGATGATTGTGCCGAGCTAGATAGCTCTCATGGGTCTCGTTGGCTCTTTGGACCGCGCTGTAGATTGCACGCTCAAACCTTTCAAACTTGTCCTCCAATCGGGATTTTCCCCAAATCCCTCCAAGGGCCTCCACGATGGCCTTCACTCCCTCCAAGTTTCCAACACGCAGCTTCTTTGGGTCCAGTCTGGCAACTCTCTGAAAGGCTGATCCCTCACATTGCAATGCAACTCGTGGGGCAAGCAGGTGTAGTTGTTCTGGAGGCCATAGTGATGCCAAGAACTCTACTTTCCGTGACCATTCAGTGAGGTCCGTCTCACCAGGCTTGAAAGATGGAACCTGGCTCCATGGGAGATTGCTCAAACCTCCTGTGGAGCCAGCTGAATCACCTTCCGGTGGCATTGGGCTGTTTCCTCCCTGGAAACCGCAGCTCAACAACTCTGTGACAACACCGCCAAGACAATGTGCAACCTGTCGACTGCCTTGCGGCCAAACAACGTATTCACCGACTCAACCAAGCAGTCAACAACAACCAAGCACAAGGGTCAAGTGTTGTCTGGAGCTTTAGCGGTAGCTCCGCTACCAATGTGATTGACACAAAGGTAGCAACAAAAGATCCTCCTTCCCTCGCACAGCCGCGTGCGTTTTCCACTCACAGCTCACCTGAAGGTTGGTACGAACGGTCGGGCGCCTTGCCCTGCAGTGTCCTCACTGCTTCTATGGCTCAGGTCACGGGTGACCCACCCTACACCACCCTTGCGGCCTCGCACACTCGTGGCTTCGGACGTGAACACACCTGAGTGGGTCAAGACTGGTTCCTCAGTGACCGAAAGGTTCGAAATTCACAATATATTTAGTTATATTATGTAAGCACTGTATATGATTATAGACTAATCCACGGATGCCCGCTGAGTCGGATGCAGACCGGTCCATGAAGTTGACCGTAAAGATGATCGAATGTGGCCCAAACTATGTTTTTCTCCGCGTCAGTTAAGCCATTGATTTAGCAGCAAGGCTCTTGTAAAGGTTCAGGGAGATGCAAATCTTCCATTACTCATTATTCTTCCATCATGGCGTACGCTCCCTTCAAAAAAAAAGAAGATGGAGCCTGGCTCCCGATAGGATCATCGACCATGCCAACCCGCCTTTTCGGTTCTCCTAGGCAGCCACATGCCTTCAACATGTGCGCTTGCATAAGAGCGTTGCATTCATTATGTTGGCATGCTCCAAACCCTGGCAAACGATAGGAGACTTAGAAAAAGAAGATTCCCTCTAAATCCCTTTTAGCAAGGCTCCAAAACAGTGGGAACCGATAGGGGACTCACAAGTATGACGATGCAACATCCGCACGCTTGGCCTCTGCTTGGGCAGGCTGGTTCTCGAGCACCCCCGGAAGGCGGAGTTTCGGCAACTGCGCGAGCGGCAAGTGAAGCTGGTGAAGAAGGTGGTGTGGAAAAAAAGGGTCCGTCCAGCCGAGCGGCAAACGTGAACAGCGAAGATCTTCGCCCACGCTTGAGACAGCGCAGGTGACAACTGTCCATTCCAGTCGATATGCTTGAGTTCTTGATATAATTGTTGTATGCTATATGATATATAGTTTGATTGAGAATGAACTGATATGAAGGAATCAAAGCCTGTGCTTCTTTTTAAATGCTCTTGTTAAACTTAAAGATACACAAGGGATGCCCATGCCATGCTCACTCTCCTGCGGCAACCGGGTTGATTCGGTGTGCGTTCTGCATTCACCGCATTCATCGTGGCATCCTGAAGCCGAACCTAGGCCTGCTACGATGTGGGTCTTACTCCTGAGCGGCACTTTCCTGGACAGCCCCTCTGTGCATGCACCCAGTGGGATGTTTCATGATATTTTCCAGATACTGTACAATACGCTGCCGTGTACAGCTGTTCAGGGGTGTTACCCATCACACAAACGAACAAAATCATGAGAAATCACTTAGCAGATGATCCCGGCGAAAACATAGAAAACATACTTCTCCAGTGGCAGAATGTGCTTCTATTCATTGGAAAGCATTCGCATGAGACAAACGAGCCTGGTGCAATTGACCAAGCCAATGCGGGAAATGGGCCCCCAATGCAGACATCGGGGCATTTTCTATTTCCTCCTCGCCATAGCAATGAGATGCAGATGACGTAACGTAATGTATTAGTTTTGTGTTGGTACAAGTGAATCGACAAGGTCGCGCTGAACGAAGCCGCGAGCTCATTGCACTGCTGATTCGGAGAATCTGTGAGAGTGCATCATTGACAGACACAGTTGTTGGTTTGACTAAAAGAAGAAGCCATCGACCACGTGTCTTGCGGGAAAACGACCACGAGTCATCACACGAGTCATCACACGAGTCATCACGCTCCCGCCACCGGCCTTGAGGTTGGTGCCACTTCCGGATGGCTGGTGGCACTTTTTCTGGTCTTCATCTTTTTGAGTCACATGATGGTCGGGAGCCAAGGGCACAGCAAACGTATTCAAACATGGCATGCAATAGAGAACTAACCAAAGAAACCGAAAACAACAAGAGCAACAAGTGTGAGCAAATTCTTGCCTAAAGTATCAACATCGACTTGTTCCACCTGAAGCACAGTGGTTCGAGTCAGAGCTGATGAGACATGCGCGTTGGGGTCCGTTCTTCATGTGGGCAGGTGCTCAATATGCTCATTGGAATTCTTTGTGATGTTGTCCACCAGGCCTGTGTAGAGATCTTTGCACCTGTGGATACCTGCACACCTAGATGTGGAAGTCGATGCAATGTCTCGTCCATTTGGTGTTTCACAGATTTTTGTTCAGAAAGTGGCCTTTCCATGTAGCAGACCATTTGCACCCTTTTGGGGGGCATTAACTCGCATAAGGTGATGTTCAGCATTGGAATTTAGATGGATCAAGTGCTTTTTGGCATTGGGACCATGACTCCAATGTGAAAAGGCTCAGACAGATAGCCAGTGAGGATGTGGCCATGGTGCATTGGCTTGGATGCTGGTTGTGGTCGTTGTTTGTTTGCACTTTTGTCCAGTGGTCTCCTTCTCCACAGGTGGCTCTGAATGAAAAGGAAGAGGCCAGGCTGCGTCAAGTATATAGCTGCTGGCAAGTGTATCCAGTCCTTTATTTGTTCGTACACTGCAGTGCGCAGCAAACTGGAAGTCCTCCGTCAGTTTTCTGAACAGCAGACAACCTGTAACCTGTGGCATGAAAATTGACTGAGCGTCGTTTTTTGGTCAGCCGGCCAATAGGTTTCACAGGAAGTATCGATCACTGTTGCACTCTGACACTGGTTTTCAGTTAACTCAGTTGCCACGATAGGAAGGATGGCGATGGAACAGTATGGCGAAAAGTCCAAGGAATTGTAGGTGTTTGAACAAAAACTGTTTTCCTTGACTGCAAACCTCAGCGGTGGTGAACGAGCGGCTCAACTCAGCTGCAAAACCAAGGTTTGTGGGAGGTATCATGAACCACCATGGAAACAAAAAAGGAGATTGGAACAGCTTGATCAAAAGTTAGGCGCAGGTACACACAGTTGATCAGACTGTGCATCCACCGAACAAGCATAGCTTTGTTAGCCAGCGTTTGCTTGTCGGCCGCTGGCCCCCTGCCTGTGAAGCGATTGAAAAACCCTTAGAAACAGGGTGTGACACACACACACACAGAAAGTTTTGGTAATGTTTACCCTCGTGGACTGGATTTTTGCGGCTTTCACCGTGTGTTGTACTTGATGCTCGCAGGATTTGGGCTCATATGACGAGAAATGCAAGAATTTGCAAGCAGTTGGTGCTTTCCATCAGTGGAACTTTAAATATTTGGAGACAAGTCCTGAGACAAACAAAGCGGTGTCCACTAAACGTGCCACTAACCCACTGAGATCCACTGAGTACATTTTGCCGCTTCAGTCTCAAAGCAAGTCTGGCTAACTCTACTTAGATGCTTGACCCCTTGAGACTCATAGTTGAAACTTACTGTACTGGCTCTCCTGCACCCAGTACGCCTATCCAAATCATTCCAAATTGATGTTAAGATCGATGTTGAATGATAGATGGCAAATCAACAAGATAGAATTTATCGGCCTTTGCGTGGAGCGACGCACGCCCTGGACTGCATCCTTGCACGGTGTGCACAAGGTGCAGGGTGGACTTTACAGATTGGTTGATTTTGGTTGGTTCTTCTAATGCGACGATCTTCGAACATGTCATCGTTGGCTCCCTTTCTGCCTTTCTGCATCATTTCATCGCAATTTCATGCAATTTCCGCAACTGACCGAGAATAACTTCAATCAGTTTAATCACTCTTAGATACAGCTCGCTACATTCAAGCTCACTGGGTGTCCTTTTTTGGAGCCTGAATATGCACAATATACAGACTATTTCGTGCCGTTTGCCTCAAGAAAGCATCGAAATGACCCTTCAGCCGTGGTACTCGTACGTTCACCCACAACCCCCCCACCTTTGTTCCTCGTCAGCTTTCGGTGGCAACTCGGTCCTGTGCTCCTTCCAGGCCAATGGCATCTGGAGGCACATGACAAAATGCTTTTCATGTGGTGAGAATAAGTAATTCCCAAGAGCACGGTGGTCACGGTGGTCATGGAATCTTTGAAGCCAACCAACAGCAAGATTCCTCTTCGCAGTCAAACCTCTACACAAAACAGGTGTGTCCAGCTGGGATCCCTGTCCAGTCCGGCTAGGTTACTCGACGGAGAAAAAGGCCAAGGCCAGCGGCCGGCTCTCAGCAGATGGGCGGTTTTAGGTTTTCGCGAAATGGGCGAAGCGTTTACAGAAACACAATGAGAAGAATGAGATGAATCACAATGAGACGGACATGGAAACAGGACTTTACAGGTGGAAATGGGAAATCAATGGACATCACCTTCCATGGCACTCGTACTTTTAGCTCGGCTCACCATGATGGTGCGCTTTGATTTGGAGGTGAGGTGGATTATCCTCGGGTCACAGGTGCTTCTCACAGCCAGTGCTGGGCCCATTCAGGTGGTCCTGATTAATGCCGAACGTTTGGACTTCGACCACAAGCTCGATCTCTCCAAGCTCTCTGAGATCGCCGATTCCTGGACAAAATGCCAAGCAAGACGACCAGAGGAGCTGTCAGAACCCCTAACGCATGTTATATATATATATATATTGTTGGTTAGATAGATAGATAGATAGTTATAGCATGTTTATCAAGTCGATGCTTAATCTGATCAGACTTTGCTGGAAGTGTTGGTGCCGTTGTCCCGTGGGCCGTGGAACAAAATGATGAACTCACAAGGACTGCAGAGCTCCTTTTTGCCTTTGTGGGTTTTCTCCGCTTGATGTCATAAACGCAGAGACCCACGCAACAGACCGAGGATGTCACGCGCTTCGAGTCTGATGCAAGCCCTGAAGAGATTCTCGAGAGAGTGCCACTTGGCCCAGTGATGTCTCCCATGGGAAACACCAGTGGCTTCTTGCTAACTAGTAGCGATGCCCTTGTTACTAGTAGCTTCTTGTTACTACTAGTAAGGCACTTGTTCCTATATAGTAGCGTTGCCATAAAAGGTGCCCGTGGATCGTCTCTCTCAAAAATGGGTCGACCAGAACTTGTCGCTTCGGTGTGACCGGGAGTTGCGAAGAAGTATGGCCAGAGTGCTTCTGGTGTGTTTGTTTCATGTTGTTTCCTGTTCCAGACTGTCATATAAGTCTTGCTGGCAAGTCGGCAAGTTTCATGGACCCAGATTCAATGTCATTTGCAGCCATTCAACACCTGCTGAGCTTCAGACTTGGTGAGAAACAACATAAGTGAGGGTTAGAAGCATCCGTTGTTACCATGAGTGATATGGCATGGCATGGCCGGATATGGGTGGAGGTCCAGTGTAGCATCAATGCTCACAACCCTGCGATAGGTGAAGATCTTTTCGATCCTTTGGTAGACTGATACTTGTAGACTAAGATAACTATATTAGTATATTCCTTACTGTCAAGCGTGCAACCACTGTGAATCCAAGGCAGGGTCAGGACATTGTGATATCCAAGGCCGGTAGAAACTTTTGGAAAGGCAACAACAGCTTTTGCCTGTTCATCCACTTGTTGTCGGTTGCTGCTGCAAAAATCTGGAAAGCTACGTAGAGAGGTCGGCGATGGCTCTGGCTTCTTAGCTCCTGCTCTATTCTTGATTTGCTGCATTCAACGTGAACTCTAGTTGAACAGTGGGCGCTGTAATGGAAACGTCACCCGTTGTCATAGATTTGTAGTGCTGTGTAGTGTAGTTTTTGTAGTGGCATGCCCTTTTTCAACGTGAAATTATTCATGGATTTGTCATGATTCGTTCGGCCCTGGGACTTCAACGGGACAGTTTCGTCAGGAAATTCCCATCCCGGGCAGCATCATCGCCAAGTTCCCTCCGTCCGTCCGCCTGATTCAGGAGGCAGACACGTGCGGTGACGGACGTGACATGCCAAAAACTAATGAACATATGAACCTGATACTGATAGCAAAACTACGGGAACCTGATACAAAGATTTGCATAGAATTGCGTTAAGATCTGCCAAGGCCGTGTGACATGATTGATATATGATATGAGTATCTATCCAAAGGAAGCAGCTCCTTCAAGTAAAGAGCAGGTGGCGTTCACGTTTCAAGACACACACACATATGCATGCATGTTTGACAAGACCAAAACGAATGAGGCGGGCACCGGATTCAACAATGTGGACTTGCCAGCAGCAAAGGCCGGTGAGTTCGAAGGGGAGTTCAAAATGACACGATGAAAAGAGATCTGTTTGGATGTGCTCAGTTTGAGAAATCGAGACTTGGTTCAAGTTGTTTTCTGTTGCCAGAAGGTCACGAAAAGGTTTGTTTGACATTGAACCACCTGCATCAGGAACAGATCGATGTTCAGTCTGTGACTGTCACGGCCTATGGTATTCCAGCGGAGAAAGTGTCTCTTTCTCGCAGGCCAAGAACGTCATGGTGTGCAACTGCCCTGCGCAGGGCGACCCAGACTCATGCTGATGAGTTTGTCTAGAGTCTCAGTCAAGACTCTTGACCCTGATTCAGAGCCTGTGGAGTCACAATCGGTCAACGAGCTTTTTGTCTAGGTGTATTTGTGTCCTTCACAGGTCCTTGTCATTTTCCCACGACGAACACTGGCAAGACAAAATCCCTCACCGAGGTACAGCAGCGACGCTGTTGCGCATTTGGTGTTCACCTTGATTCTGCACCTGGTCAGCAAGTGAAAACAGAGGGGTGGAACATGGTGGAACCATGGAACCTATAATTATTGAAAAATCAAGAGCGTACGGGCTGGAGTTAGGACAGTTAGGAGAAGGCTGTCGGTAAGACGGTGCTTGCAAGTTTAAAAGATGCGGTGTATAATGGTGTGTATATATAGCCTGGACATTCATTTGACTCGTTTGGATTGGGATTGGACATGTATGAGCGGAGAACTGTCAGACATGTCCAAAGAAAACCCCTCCGGCTGCGCTTGTTTCAAAGCAGAGGTGGAGGGTGAGGCATGAAAGAACCTTTTGGCCAAGGAGGTTTGTCTACATTGTATGACCTTGCCCTTCAGGAACTTTTCCTGCTCGCTAGTGCCACAGATGCGCGGCTTGGCAAGGATGCACATTGTCTGGTATTTTGATATATGTTGTGTTCTTTCGGTTGGTTTGACGCTAGTAGTAGCTCCTGGCCATACTACTAGGAGCAAGAGGACACTACAGTACTAGTAACAAAGGGCATCGCTACGAACGGAGCGATCGGACGCTACTAGCTTTGTACCTCCTTTTCGACTCCTCGTTATGCTTTGCCCAGGTATGCTTCAGCCCCTTGGACGCATTTTTTGCGACGAATTTTACCATAATTGTTGCTCTCCGACTTGACAACTGCCTGGTGCCAAGGAAGGGCAACCGGGATAATTTCACCAAGTCACTCCAGGCTGACTTGGGCCTTTTCACCAGTTGAGCATTTGGCCTGCCATCCTTGAGCAGAGTTTCCTAAAACTGGGAATTGTGTGCTGTCCTAGTCCCAGTCCTGTGCATTCGCAGCATTTTCAGCCGCATTTTCAGCCAAACAATGCCAGAGGATCGGAGTGCTTTTGGACGAAGTCTCCACAAGTCTGTGCAGCGGTGCAGCTGTGTTGGCTCACCAAAGCTGCGCAGGTGCCTCACTTCGAGCTGCAAGGCAAGATCTTGGGGCTCATTGGAGGTAGCGGTGGCATCGGCAGTCAGGCGAGCGATGGGCAGCGGCGCCGATGCTGTTCGATTTGAATCACCCGACGCCATACGATATGTTTGATCATGTTCGATCCCAAGAGGGTCACCAATCACCCAAAAGAACCCCCCAGAGTGATCCATGAATCATCACCATTAGGTTAGCTCATATGATCCAGAGCTGGTCCATGTTCCCACCAACGACGCTGGAAGACACGGTGACACGTCGAGAGCTCCAGTTCTTCAATCCTTTATCACAGGAACATGAATCTTAGTAGTCACATGTAGTCACATGTCACAGTGTAGTAACATGATAATCCCTTCTTTGCCGTCCTTGTTTAGGACGCCACTGCGCTCATGCATTTATTGCCGTTGCGTAGTTCCTATGGCCGCCTACCGTCGATAGTGCCCATTGACTCCGAGGTCGCAGCGCTGGCTGAAGCCATTGGCATGAAGGCAGAAACAGACGGTTTACAGTGCGGTGTGGAGTTTCTACGGCACTGTCTTTTTCAGTCCTTGCCTCACAAAAACTCAATCCCCGCAAAAAGGGCCACAAAACCTTTTGTGGTATGTCATGGTATGTCCAACGAAAACAGGGGCGCCTAAAATACATGCCCGTCACACATGGCCATGTGCCAGTCTGTGCCATGGCCATTCCTTCATGGCGCCCATCTCGATGTTCTGCGACCGTGAGGTGGTGATTACCAGCCGAAGTCCCAAGCCCAATGCACTGCCTTTGGAGGAGTGATGGAAATGGGAGGGCAGGTCAGACAGGACAGGACCGGCATAAATTAATATAAATTGAATAGTGTTCGTTGAACAGGATACTCCATGATACTCCTTCATCTTCCATTGTGGGGATCGGATGCATTGATTTGGACTATACAATGCTTGAATTCAGTTTTATTGGCCATTACCTCTCTTGAGTGTAATCGTTTGCAGAAGCCGATAGCAATATATCGTTTACAGAAGGCGATACCAATATATATATATATGGTACCATATATATATATATGTATGTGTGTGTATGTATGTATGTATGTATGTATGTATGTATGTATGTATGTATGT